CAGTCGTTCACGCTTCCGGCCTCTCCACAGCAGAATGGGGTTGCTGAGCGCCGCATTGGTTTGGTCATGGAGGTCGCTCGTACCTCCTTGATCCATGCGGCTGCCCCCCACTTTCTGTGGCCGTTTGCGGTCCGATACGCTGCGCATCAGCTCAACCTCTGGCCCCGTGTCTCCGTTCCGGAGACTTCGCCGACACTGCGTTGGACGGGAGAGGTTGGCGATGCGTCGCGTTTTCGGGTCTGGGGGTCCCGAGCTTTTGTTCGCGATACGTTCGCGGACAAGCTCTCCTCCCGCGCTGTTCCCTGTGTCTTCCTTGGCTTTGTCCCGGACGCGTCTGGTTGGCAGTTTTACCACGCCACCTCGCGCCGTGTCCTGCCCTCTCAGGACGTCACTTTTGACGAGTCCGTGCCCTACTATCGCCTCTTCCCCTACCGCACTGCCCCGCTCCCCCCCCCCGCCTCTCTTCCTCGCGCGAGGTGCTGCTGTGGTAGACCCCCTCCCCCCTCAGGGTGCCGCTCCCTCAGGTGTGTCCCAGGTAGACCCGGTTGAGCCTGTCGAGGTAGCTGTCGACTCTCGTCCTGCCAGGGGTGCTGAGCCTGAGCGTGCGGAGCCTGGGGTTGCGGAGTCTGGGGGTGCTGAGCCTGGGGGTGCGGGGTCTGGGGGTGCGGAGCCTGCGGGTGCTGAGTCTGGGGGTGCTGAGCCTGGGGGTGCGGAGCCTGCGGGTGCTGAGTCTGGAGGTGCTGAGCCTGGGGGTGCTGAGCCAAGGAGTGCTACGTCTGAGAGTACTGAGCCTGAGCGTGCTGCACCTGGGGGAGGCCTCTCCTCGCAGCAGCTGCGTGAGTGGTACTTACAGTACTGCAGCCTCAGGAGAGGTGCTTCTGGAGCTCGGAGTGGTGCCGGAGCTGGTGCTAGTGCTTCCCCTCCTAGGCGGGAGCTGCCCTCTCCCCAGCAGCTCCGAGAGTGGTACGCTAGGCGCTGCAGTCTCCGGAGTGGCGCTCCCGGTGTCGTGGACTCTGGAGCTTCTGGAGTTACTGGAGGTGCTGCTGCTGCTGGCGGTGCGGCTGGCGCTGCTGGAGGTGCTGCTGGTGCTGCTGGAGCTGCTGGAGGTACTGCTGCTGCTGGAGGTGCTGCTGGCGCTGCTGGAGGTACTACTGGTTCTGGTGCTGCTGGAGCTGCTGGAGGTGCTGCTGCTGCTGGCGGTGCGGCTGGCGCTGCTGGAGGTGCTGCTGGTGCTGCTGGCGCTGCTGGAGGTGCTACTGGTGCTGGAGCTACTGGAGCTGCTGGTGGTACTGCTGCTGCTGGCGGTGCTGCTGGCGCTGCTGGAGGTGCTGCTGGTACTGGTGCTGCTGGAGCTGCTGGAGGTGCTGCTGCTGCTGGTGGTGCTGCTGGCACTGCTGGAGGTGCTGCTGGTACTGGAGCTGCTGGGGACCCTGCTGCTGCTGGCGGTGCTGCTGGAGCTGCTGGGACTGGCCCTGCTGAGGGGGTTGGAGCTGGAGGTGCTGAGCGGCCACGGCCGTACTACGTTCCGCTCCTTCAGCAGGTTCTTGGCCTTCCACCCTCTCCTGGTCCTACTCCTCCCCTACTGAGTCCACCGCTTGTCCAGTCGCAGTCACAGTTACAGCCAGTCTCTCCACTTCCTGGTCCTTCTCCCTACACTGCGCCGACGGGAGGTCTTACGGAGCGTCGTGAGCCTGAGTCTCGTCCTCCGTCGCCTGAGACGCGTCCAGAGTCGCCTGTCCGCGCTGTCCGCGCTGGTCGTCGTGTTCCACGTCAGCGTCCTCCTCCTGTCCTTGGCACTCACTATATGACCCTGCGTCCCTCTACTGCTCCACAGCGTGTCCCACTGCCGTCTCCACCAGCGTCCTCTCTTCCTGCTCTTGCTGACCCGGAGTCTGACTCTCTTCGTGCTGCCAGTCCTACTGTCACGCGTCTCCTTGCCACTGCTGTCACTGACCCTTCCTTTGAGTCCTCTGCTGCGTCTGCTCTAGTCGCTGAGCTTGTTGACTTTGCTGCTGCCTGTCGTCTAGACTACGCCGCTAGCCTTGTTGCTGAGTCTGAGTCTGAGTCTGTCTGTCCTCCGTCTGTCGGGGGTGAGTGTGCTCTTGGCACGGACGTCCTTGAGGACAGACAGGAGGAGTTTGAGTGCTTTGCCGCTGCTTTGCCTCATCTCGTGTCCATGCTAGTTGCCCCTGAGGGAGACCCGGATGCACCAGACATCCCGACCCCACGCTCCTACGCAGAGGCGATGGAGGGTCCCTACTCCTCTCAGTGGCAGACAGCCATGGACGCAGAGATGGCATCCTGGAAGTCCACAGGCACCTACGTTGACGAGGTTCCCCCACCTGGGGCGAACATCGTCAGTGGCATGTGGATTTTCAGGGTGAAGCGGCCGCCGGGTTCTCCGCCTGTCTTCAAGGCGCGTTACGTTGCACGAGGCTTCAGTCAGCGAGAGGGAGTTGACTTCTTCCAGACCTTCTCCCCGACCCCGAAGATGACCACTCTTCGGGTTCTGCTGCACGTCGCTGCTCAGCGTGACTACGAGCTCCACTCTCTTGACTTCAGCACTGCGTTCTTACAGGGCAGCCTGCACGAGGAGATCTGGCTGCGCCGCCCACCTGGCTTCACTGGGTCGTTCCCTCCTGGTACCCAGTGGAGCCTCCGGCGGCCAGTCTACGGTCTCCGCCAGGCACCCCGTGAGTGGCACGACACACTGAGGACTACTCTTGCTGCTCTTGGGTTTGCTCCTTCTACTGCTGACCCGTCGCTGTTTCTACGCACCGACACCACTATGCCGCCGTTCTACGTTCTTGTTTACGTAGACGACTTGGTCTTTGCTACTGCTGACACTGAGGCACTCGCCCACGTGAAGTCGGAGCTGCAAAAGAGACACACGTGCACAGACCTGGGTGAGCTGACAAGCTATCTTGGCTTGCGGATCACCCGGGACAGAGCACAGCGCACCATCACCTTGACTCAGTCACACATGGTGCAGCAGGTCCTTCAGCGCTTCCGCTTCACGTACTCCTCGCCTCAGCCCACTCCTCTGCCTACCGGTCACTCGCTCTCAGCTCTGCCTTCGGATGAGTCCGTAGAGCCGAGTGGCCCGTATCCAGAGCTTGTGGGCTGCCTCATGTACCTGATGACCTGCACTCGACCTGACCTGGCATACCCTCTTAGCATCCTAGCACGCTATGTCGCTCCCGGCCGTCACCGGAAGGAGCACATGGATGCCGCTAAGAGGGTGTTGCGCTACTTGTGCAGTACGTCGGGCATGGGGCTCGTGCTTGGAGGTCGGAGCGACGTTGTCCTCACGGGTCACTCAGACGCTTCTTGGGCTGACGACCAGGCTACGCAGCGGTCGTCTCAGGGTTACACCTTCAGCCTTGGCTCTGGTTCAGTTTCTTGGCGTTCTACTCGCTCTTCTTCTGTTCTCAGCTCCAGTTGTGAGGCTGAGATCTACGCCACAGCCATGGCTGCACAGGAGTTACGCTGGCTCACCTACCTGCTGACCGACCTGGGAGAGCGGCCTCGTTCTCCTCCAGTGCTGTACGTTGACAACAAGGCCGCCATTGCCTTGTGTGAGGAGCACAGACTGGAGCACAGGACGAAGCACATCGCTCTGCGCTACTTCCTTGCCCGAGAGCTGCAGCAGCGTGGTCAGCTTCGTCTGCGTTACGTGGCCACTCGGGCCAACACTGCTGATGTGTTCACCAAGGCGCTTCAGCCTTGTGACCATCAGCGTTTCTGTACTGTTCTAGGCCTTGTGCCTACTCTCCCTCACTTGCTCACTTCTTGACTCTGCTTGTACTGTGATCTCTATATATATATACCTGCATGTTTACTCTTGTTAGGTTGTGATCACTGTACCTCTTGTTATATTATCAAACTGCATGTGAACTGGTCTTGTGACCACTTGCTTGTGCTCGGAATTTGTGTGGTTTCCTTGAGATCCACCCTGAGCTTGCTTTGCTTTGCTTTGACTGGTCTTGTGACCATCTGGTTGTCTCCCACTTAGCCTATGGGGGTGTGTCAAACATTATACATGTTCATATTGTGTAAGCTATAGTGGGTTTAGCCTTAGGGGGTACAACATTGCTAGGGTTTCCTACTTGTATCACCCTGCTGCCTAGTTTCACACATTCTCGTTCAGTTCTACATTCTAACATGTCGCGCAAGCAACTCATATCGCCGTTAATTTATAAGTTGACGTAACATCGCATTACATTTCCGTATCGCCAGTTCCTGTTGGCGCTTCGAACTTTGGCGAGCTTTCGTAGTTGGAGCCCTTACATTGTCACTGGAAGCACCTCGCTGCCTCTCCTCATCCTTCGTTAGGCTTCGCGACCATTCGTTACCGTTCGGAGTAGCATTTCGTCATGGAGAGTGCCGCTTTGATCCGGACAGCCGTCAGAAGGACTCGAGATATGATGCGGTGTGGGCCAGCAACCGCATTGTTGAATGCCTATCAAGATAATCCTGGCCGTTCATCGCGGTGCTTTCACCACGGCCGCGCTGTCATTGTAAACAAGCGCGGAGCCGACCTCCTTCACGACCCGTGGTTCAACAAAGTAAGTCATTCTTAGCCTGACTCACAAAGTAAGGCATTTTCAACCATACTTACGAAGGAAGAACGGAGATAAGTTCAAAGAAAACCATCGCCTGAACATTTTAATGCCTCACTGTTCAGTGGGCTCAAACGGTGGCTTCATACACGACCACTGGGTCAGCATTGCCAGTGTTCGTTCTCTGCTCCCCACGCCGTAGCAGTACACTACCATCCGCCTTCTCTCATGAGTTCCAGTTCCCACACCTTTTGCACCTATTTCGACTTCTCGTTACCCTCCCTCGTCTCCCTGCAGCACACGGCATTCGAGGCACCAGAACGGGATCGCTTGGGTCTGAGGGGTCTTCTCCCGCCGGGTTACCAGACCATGGAGGAGCAAATGCAGCAGTTCAGTAAGTACACCCTCGTACGCGTTATAGAGTGACTTGCGCCTCAAATGAGGGGCCTCCTTCCACCGGGTTACCAGACCATGGAGGAGCAAATGCAGCAGTTCAGTGAGTACACCCTCGTACGCGGTATGAAACCTCTTTTAGCACCATTGGTGCCATGGCGTTGAGCACCTGGAAGCGCCTGCGATGTGCTCTCACTGAACCTCACACCACTGCACCGCACCTCTATCGCACAATCAGCCTGCTTTCACTCACTCCTCATAATGCACTGTAACTTCCCGTGCTCAGAACAAGAACCCTTCAGGCACGTGGTGCTTTTTTTACCCTTCCTCGCAGACGTTACAACAATCACGCCACGCCCCTTATGTTTAGGCAAACTTCTCTCAACGCTTCCCTTCCCTACAACTGGGCTTACTCCTTTTCCTCCCTTCCCTCGTCCCCAGTGCGGCAGTACGAGGCGATCGAACGCAAGCCCAGGTCCTCGGACGACCCGGTAGACCTGCAGAAGTGGCGCATCCTTCCCACGTCCCATTTTCATTCGTTCCCATCCCCCCTCTCGTTTCCACCCCACCACAGTGCGGCAGTACGAGGCCATTGAACGCAAGCCCAGGTCGTCTGACGACCCCGTCGACCTGCAGAAGTGGCGCATCCTTCCCACGTCGCATTTTCCTTCGTTCCCATCCCCCACTCGTTCCCACGCCCCTTTTTCATTCGTTCCCATCCCCCACTCGTTCCCATGCCCCTTTTTCATTCGTTCCCATCCCCCACTCGTTCCCACGCCCCTTTTTCATTCGTTCCCATCCCCCACTCGTTCCCACCCCCCCCACCCAGTGCGGCAGTACGAGGCGATTGAACGCAAGCCCAGGTCGTCTGACGACCCCGTGGACCTGCAGAAGTGGCGCATCCTCAACCGCCTGCACGACCGCAACGAGACCATGTATTACCGGGTAGGTTTGTGGTGTGAGTGTATTGAAGATATGTGTGTGACTGTAACGAGCTGAGGAGTGTGTGGTGGGACCTCTGCTCCACCGTAATGCCGTACGACCCAGTGGACCTGCAGAAGCGGCGCATCCTCAACCGCCTGCACGACCGCAACGAGACTCTGTATTACCGGGTATGTGTGTGTTTAGTGTGACTGTATTGTAGATATGTGTGGTTGCAAAGAGCTGTGGGGTGTCTGGTGGGTCCTCTGCTCCACTATCAAGCCCGACGACCCCGTGGACCTGCAGAAGCGGCGCATCCTCAACCGCCTGCACGACCGCAATGAGACACTCTATTACCGGGTATGGCATGACTGGTGCGACTCTGTGTGGGGCTATAACGAGGGGTGTGGAGTGATTGCACTGCATTGTGGACCTGCTGAAGTGGCGCATCCTCAACCGCCTGCACGACCGCAACGAGACCCTGTATTACCGGGTATGTGTATGGGAGTGACTAGTGCGATTGAGTGTGTGCAGCTATAACGAGGGGTGAGGAGTGGTTGCACTGCATTGTGGTCCTGCAGATGTGGCGCATCCTGAACATACCCGTCTCTCTTTCCCTCCCTGCCCTACTCATCAGATCCTGATGGACAACATAGAGGAGATGTCGCGCATCGTCTACACGCCCACCGCCCCCTTCTTCCCATCATGCTCCATATCATCCCTCCCCCTCCCCCCACCCCCCTCCACGCATCAGATCCTGATGGAGAACATAGAGGAGATGTCGCGCATCGTGTACACGCCCACCGTGGGCATGGTGTGCCAGCGCTACGCCTCCCTCTTCCGCCGCCCGCGGGGCATGTACTTCAGCGCGAACGACCAGGGCGAGATGGCCTCCATGGTGCACAACTGGCCCTCCGACCATGTGAGTGCATGCGTGGTACATGCCGTTGCGCCAAAGGGGCAGGTAGGCGAATGAATGTCCTGTGAACAGGTACACACCGTGGCAGCAAGGAGGCATGTACTTCAGCACCAACAACCAGGGCGAGATGGCCTCCATGGTGCACAACTGGCCGTCGGACCATGTGAGTGCGCGCGTGGTGTTTGCTTACATGTACATTAGAAGTGAAAGAAACGTACTGTAGGAACAGGTACATACAGTGCCGCCCGCGAGGCATGTACTTCAGCGCCAACGACCAGGGCGAGATGGCATTGATGGTGCACAACTGGCCCTCGGATCACGTAAGTGCACACACGGCGTGTTGCGGATATTCATACAATACATATGTTAATAGTCACTGTACGCGCATGCATAGTGCCACCCGCGAGGCATGTACTTCAGCACCAACGACCAGGGAGAGATGGCCTCCATGGTGCACAACTGGCGATCCGATCATGTGAGCAGAGCAGAGTTGGTGTGCTTGATCTGAAACAATGCTGAAAGATGTAGATGAATTTCACTGTAGGAACAGGACCAGTGGCGCCACCCTCACCAACTCACCCCTACCTGCTCTCCTCTACCCGCTCTCTCAGGTGGATATCATAGTGATCACGGATGGCTGCAGGTTGCTGGGAGTGGGTGACTGTGGTGTGCAGCTCAATGCTATTCCCGCACCCCCCTAACCACCCTCCCCCACCGACTCTTCCCCCACCCGCTCTCTCAGGTGGATTTCATAGTGATCACGGATGGCAACAGGGTGTTGGGGGTGGGCGACTGTGGCGTGCATGAGCTCACTGCCATTACCGCTCTCCCCTACCCACTCCCTCCTGCCGGTTCTCTCAGGTGGACATCATAGTGATCACGGATGGCAGCAGGGTGCTGGGCGTGGGTGACTGTGGCGTGCAGGGTGCCTGTCTCACCGCCATACCCGTGCTCTCCCCTACTCACTTTCCCCTACCCTCCCTCTCTACCTGCTCTCTCAGGTGGACATCATAGTGATCACGGATGGCAGCAGGGTGCTGGGCGTGTCAGCGCCGGTGGGAAAGCTGATATCTCTGTCCTTTGACCTCTCTACCCTACTGCACCCCTCACCATCTCACCCAGGTGGACATCATAGTGATCACGGACGGCAGCAGGGTGCTGGGAGCGGGCGACTGTGACGTGCAGGGAGCTTGTCGCACCGCCACACTCCTGCTCTCCCCTACCCACCCCTTAGACCTACTCTTCTACCCGCCCTCACTCTTTCAGGTGGACATCATAGTGATCACGGACGGCAGCAGGGTGCTGGGAGCGGGCGACTGTGACGTGCAGGGAGCTTGTCGCACCGCCACACTCCTGCTCTCCCCTACCCACCCCTTAGACCTACTCTTCTACCCGCCCTCACTCTTTCAGGTGGACATCATAGTGATCACGGACGGCAGCAGGGTGCTGGGAGCGGGCGACTGTGACGTGCAGGGAGCTTGTCGCACCGCCACACTCCTGCTCTCCCCTACCCACCCCTTAGACCTACTCTTCTACCCGCCCTCACTCTTTCAGGTGGACATCATAGTGATCACGGACGGCAGCAGGGTGCTGGGAGCGGGCGACTGTGACGTGCAGGGAGCTTGTCGCACCGCCACACTCCTGCTCTCCCCTACCCACCCCTTAGACCTACTCTTCTACCCGCCCTCACTCTTTCAGGTGGACATCATAGTGATCACGGACGGCAGCAGGGTGCTGGGAGCGGGCGACTGTGACGTGCAGGGAGCTTGTCGCACCGCCACACTCCTGCTCTCCCCTACCCACCCCTTAGACCTACTCTTCTACCCGCCCTCACTCTTTCAGGTGGACATCATAGTGATCACGGACGGCAGCAGGGTGCTGGGAGTGGGTGACTGTGGCGTACAGGCCGTGTCAGCACCGGTGGAGAAGCTGGACATGTACGTGGCTGCTGCTGGCATCAACCCCAACCGGGTGAGTAAATGAGGGTGAGAGGGACCGACCAGAGGAGAGAGGGACGAATTGAGGAAAGAGGGACCACTCCAGAACCTGTGGAGAAGCTGAACATGTACGTGGCTGGGGGGAAGGGTGTAAAGAGCTGGTGTCAGCACCGGTGGAGAAGCTGGACATGTACGTGGCTGCTGCTGGCATCAACCCCAACCGGGTGAGTAAATGAGGGTGAGAGGGACCGACCAGAGGAGAGAGGGACGAATTGAGGAAAGAGGGACCACTCCAGAACCTGTGGAGAAGCTGAACATGTACGTGGCTGGGGGGAAGGGTGTAAAGACCTGGTGTCAGCACCGGTGGAGAAGCTGGACATGTACGTGGCTGCTGCTGGCATCAACCCCAACCGGGTGAGTAAATGAGGGTGAGAGGGACCGACCAGAGGAGAGAGGGACGAATTGAGGAAAGAGGGACCACTCCAGAACCTGTGGAGAAGCTGAACATGTACGTGGCTGGGGGGAAGGGTGTAAAGAGCTGGTGTCAGCACCGGTGGAGAAGCTGGACATGTACGTGGCTGCTGCTGGCATCAACCCCAACCGGGTGAGTAAATGAGGGTGAGAGGGACCGACCAGAGGAGAGAGGGACGAATTGAGGAAAGAGGGACCACTCCAGAACCTGTGGAGAAGCTGAACATGTACGTGGCTGGGGGGAAGGGTGTAAAGAGCTGGTGTCAGCACCGGTGGAGAAGCTGGACATGTACGTGGCTGCTGCTGGCATCAACCCCAACCGGGTGAGTAAATGAGGGTGAGAGGGACCGACCAGAGGAGAGAGGGACGAATTGAGGAAAGAGGGACCACTCCAGAACCTGTGGAGAAGCTGAACATGTACGTGGCTGGGGGGAAGGGTGTAAAGAGCTGGTGTCAGCACCGGTGGAGAAGCTGGACATGTACGTGGCTGCTGCTGGCATCAACCCCAACCGGGTGAGTAAATGAGGGTGAGAGGGACCGACCAGAGGAGAGAGGGACGAATTGAGGAAAGAGGGACCACTCCAGAACCTGTGGAGAAGCTGAACATGTACGTGGCTGGGGGGAAGGGTGTAAAGACCTGGTGTCAGCACCGGTGGAGAAGCTGAACATGTACGTGGCTGGGGGGAAGGGTGTAAAGAGCTGGTGTCAGCACCGGTGGAGAAGCTGGACATGTACGTGGCTGCTGCTGGCATCAACCCCAACCGGGTGAGTAAATGAGGGTGAGAGGGACCGACCAGAGGAGAGAGGGACGAATTGAGGAAAGAGGGACCACTCCAGAACCTGTGGAGAAGCTGAACATGTACGTGGCTGGGGGGAAGGGTGTAAAGACCTGGTGTCAGCACCGGTGGAGAAGCTGAACATGTACGTGGCTGGGGGGAAGGGTGTAAAGAGCTGGTGTCAGCACCGGTGGAGAAGCTGGACATGTACGTGGCTGCTGCTGGCATCAACCCCAACCGGGTGAGTAAATGAGGGTGAGAGGGACCGACCAGAGGAGAGAGGGACGAATTGAGGAAAGAGGGACCACTCCAGAACCTGTGGAGAAGCTGAACATGTACGTGGCTGGGGGGAAGGGTGTAAAGACCTGGTGTCAGCACCGGTGGAGAAGCTGAACATGTACGTGGCTGGGGGGAAGGGTGTAAAGAGCTGGTGTCAGCACCGGTGGAGAAGCTGGACATGTACGTGGCTGCTGCTGGCATCAACCCCAACCGGGTGAGTAAATGAGGGTGAGAGGGACCGACCAGAGGAGAGAGGGACGAATTGAGGAAAGAGGGACCACTCCAGAACCTGTGGAGAAGCTGAACATGTACGTGGCTGGGGGGAAGGGTGTAAAGACCTGGTGTCAGCACCGGTGGAGAAGCTGAACATGTACGTGGCTGGGGGGAAGGGTGTAAAGAGCTGGTGTCAGCACCGGTGGAGAAGCTGGACATGTACGTGGCTGCTGCTGGCATCAACCCCAACCGGGTGAGTAAATGAGGGTGAGAGGGACCGACCAGAGGAGAGAGGGACGAATTGAGGAAAGAGGGACCACTCCAGAACCTGTGGAGAAGCTGAACATGTACGTGGCTGGGGGGAAGGGTGTAAAGACCTGGTGTCAGCACCGGTGGAGAAGCTGAACATGTACGTGGCTGGGGGGAAGGGTGTAAAGAGCTGGTGTCAGCACCGGTGGAGAAGCTGGACATGTACGTGGCTGCTGCTGGCATCAACCCCAACCGGGTGAGTAAATGAGGGTGAGAGGGACCGACCAGAGGAGAGAGGGACGAATTGAGGAAAGAGGGACCACTCCAGAACCTGTGGAGAAGCTGAACATGTACGTGGCTGGGGGGAAGGGTGTAAAGACCTGGTGTCAGCACCGGTGGAGAAGCTGAACATGTACGTGGCTGGGGGGAAGGGTGTAAAGAGCTGGTGTCAGCACCGGTGGAGAAGCTGGACATGTACGTGGCTGCTGCTGGCATCAACCCCAACCGGGTGAGTAAATGAGGGTGAGAGGGACCGACCAGAGGAGAGAGGGACGAATTGAGGAAAGAGGGACCACTCCAGAACCTGTGGAGAAGCTGAACATGTACGTGGCTGGGGGGAAGGGTGTAAAGACCTGGTGTCAGCACCGGTGGAGAAGCTGAACATGTACGTGGCTGGGGGGAAGGGTGTAAAGAGCTGGTGTCAGCACCGGTGGAGAAGCTGGACATGTACGTGGCTGCTGCTGGCATCAACCCCAACCGGGTGAGTAAATGAGGGTGAGAGGGACCGACCAGAGGAGAGAGGGACGAATTGAGGAAAGAGGGACCACTCCAGAACCTGTGGAGAAGCTGAACATGTACGTGGCTGGGGGGAAGGGTGTAAAGACCTGGTGTCAGCACCGGTGGAGAAGATGAACATGTACGTGGCTGGGGGGAAGGGTGTAAAGAGCTGGTGTCAGCACCGGTGGAGAAGCTGGACATGTACGTGGCTGCTGCTGGCATCAACCCCAACCGGGTGAGTAAATGAGGGTGAGAGGGACCGACCAGAGGAGAGAGGGACGAATTGAGGAAAGAGGGACCACTCCAGAACCTGTGGAGAAGCTGAACATGTACGTGGCTGGGGGGAAGGGTGTAAAGACCTGGTGTCAGCACCGGTGGAGAAGCTGAACATGTACGTGGCTGGGGGGAAGGGTGTAAAGAGCTGGTGTCAGCACCGGTGGAGAAGCTGGACATGTACGTGGCTGCTGCTGGCATCAACCCCAACCGGGTGAGTAAATGAGGGTGAGAGGGACCGACCAGAGGAGAGAGGGACGAATTGAGGAAAGAGGGACCACTCCAGAACCTGTGGAGAAGCTGAACATGTACGTGGCTGGGGGGAAGGGTGTAAAGACCTGGTGTCAGCACCGGTGGAGAAGCTGAATATGTACGTGGCTGGGGGGAAGGGTGTAAAGAGCTGGTGTCAGCACCGGTGGAGAAGCTGGACATGTACGTGGCTGCTGCTGGCATCAACCCCAACCGGGTGAGTAAATGAGGGTGAGAGGGACCGACCAGAGGAGAGAGGGACGAATTGAGGAAAGAGGGACCACTCCAGAACCTGTGGAGAAGCTGAACATGTACGTGGCTGGGGGGAAGGGTGTAAAGACCTGGTGTCAGCACCGGTGGAGAAGCTGAACATGTACGTGGCTGGGGGGAAGGGTGTAAAGAGCTGGTGTCAGCACCGGTGGAGAAGCTGGACATGTACGTGGCTGCTGCTGGCATCAACCCCAACCGGGTGAGTAAATGAGGGTGAGAGGGACCGACCAGAGGAGAGAGGGACGAATTGAGGAAAGAGGGACCACTCCAGAACCTGTGGAGAAGCTGAACATGTACGTGGCTGGGGGGAAGGGTGTAAAGACCTGGTGTCAGCACCGGTGGAGAAGCTGAACATGTACGTGGCTGGGGGGAAGGGTGTAAAGAGCTGGTGTCAGCACCGGTGGAGAAGCTGGACATGTACGTGGCTGCTGCTGGCATCAACCCCAACCGGGTGAGTAAATGAGGGTGAGAGGGACCGACCAGAGGAGAGAGGGACGAATTGAGGAAAGAGGGACCACTCCAGAACCTGTGGAGAAGCTGAACATGTACGTGGCTGGGGGGAAGGGTGTAAAGACCTGGTGTCAGCACCGGTGGAGAAGCTGAACATGTACGTGGCTGGGGGGAAGGGTGTAAAGAGCTGGTGTCAGCACCGGTGGAGAAGCTGGACATGTACGTGGCTGCTGCTGGCATCAACCCCAACCGGGTGAGTAAATGAGGGTGAGAGGGACCGACCAGAGGAGAGAGGGACGAATTGAGGAAAGAGGGACCACTCCAGAACCTGTGGAGAAGCTGAACATGTACGTGGCTGGGGGGAAGGGTGTAAAGACCTGGTGTCAGCACCGGTGGAGAAGCTGAACATGTACGTGGCTGGGGGGAAGGGTGTAAAGAGCTGGTGTCAGCACCGGTGGAGAAGCTGGACATGTACGTGGCTGCTGCTGGCATCAACCCCAACCGGGTGAGTAAATGAGGGTGAGAGGGACCGACCAGAGGAGAGAGGGACGAATTGAGGAAAGAGGGACCACTCCAGAACCTGTGGAGAAGCTGAACATGTACGTGGCTGGGGGGAAGGGTGTAAAGACCTGGTGTCAGCACCGGTGGAGAAGCTGAACATGTACGTGGCTGGGGGGAAGGGTGTAAAGAGCTGGTGTCAGCACCGGTGGAGAAGCTGGACATGTACGTGGCTGCTGCTGGCATCAACCCCAACCGGGTGAGTAAATGAGGGTGAGAGGGACCGACCAGAGGAGAGAGGGACGAATTGAGGAAAGAGGGACCACTCCAGAACCTGTGGAGAAGCTGAACATGTACGTGGCTGGGGGGAAGGGTGTAAAGACCTGGTGTCAGCACCGGTGGAGAAGCTGAACATGTACGTGGCTGGGGGGAAGGGTGTAAAGAGCTGGTGTCAGCACCGGTGGAGAAGCTGGACATGTACGTGGCTGCTGCTGGCATCAACCCCAACCGGGTGAGTAAATGAGGGTGAGAGGGACCGACCAGAGGAGAGAGGGACGAATTGAGGAAAGAGGGACCACTCCAGAACCTGTGGAGAAGCTGAACATGTACGTGGCTGGGGGGAAGGGTGTAAAGACCTGGTGTCAGCACCGGTGGAGAAGCTGGACATGTACGTGGCTGCTGCTGGCATCAACCCCAACCGGGTGAGTAAATGAGGGTGAGAGGGACCGACCAGAGGAGAGAGGGACGAATTGAGGAAAGAGGGACCACTCCAGAACCTGTGGAGAAGCTGAACATGTACGTGGCTGGGGGGAAGGGTGTAAAGACCTGGTGTCAGCACCGGTGGAGAAGCTGAACATGTACGTGGCTGGGGGGAAGGGTGTAAAGAGCTGGTGTCAGCACCGGTGGAGAAGCTGGACATGTACGTGGCTGCTGCTGGCATCAACCCCAACCGGGTGAGTAAATGAGGGTGAGAGGGACCGACCAGAGGAGAGAGGGACGAATTGAGGAAAGAGGGACCACTCCAGAACCTGTGGAGAAGCTGAACATGTACGTGGCTGGGGGGAAGGGTGTAAAGACCTGGTGTCAGCACCGGTGGAGAAGCTGGACATGTACGTGGCTGCTGCTGGCATCAACCCCAACCGGGTGAGTAAATGAGGGTGAGAGGGACCGACCAGAGGAGAGAGGGACGAATTGAGGAAAGAGGGACCACTCCAGAACCTGTGGAGAAGCTGAACATGTACGTGGCTGGGGGGAAGGGTGTAAAGACCTGGTGTCAGCACCGGTGGAGAAGCTGAACATGTACGTGGCTGGGGGGAAGGGTGTAAAGAGCTGGTGTCAGCACCGGTGGAGAAGCTGGACATGTACGTGGCTGCTGCTGGCATCAACCCCAACCGGGTGAGTAAATGAGGGTGAGAGGGACCGACCAGAGGAGAGAGGGACGAATTGAGGAAAGAGGGACCACTCCAGAACCTGTGGAGAAGCTGAACATGTACGTGGCTGGGGGGAAGGGTGTAAAGACCTGGTGTCAGCACCGGTGGAGAAGCTGAACATGTACGTGGCTGGGGGGAAGGGTGTAAAGAGCTGGTGTCAGCACCGGTGGAGAAGCTGGACATGTACGTGGCTGCTGCTGGCATCAACCCCAACCGGGTGAGTAAATGAGGGTGAGAGGGACCGACCAGAGGAGAGAGGGACGAATTGAGGAAAGAGGGACCACTCCAGAACCTGTGGAGAAGCTGAACATGTACGTGGCTGGGGGGAAGGGTGTAAAGACCTGGTGTCAGCACCGGTGGAGAAGCTGAACATGTACGTGGCTGGGGGGAAGGGTGTAAAGAGCTGGTGTCAGCACCGGTGGAGAAGCTGGACATGTACGTGGCTGCTGCTGGCATCAACCCCAACCGGGTGAGTAAATGAGGGTGAGAGGGACCGACCAGAGGAGAGAGGGACGAATTGAGGAAAGAGGGACCACTCCAGAACCTGTGGAGAAGCTGAACATGTACGTGGCTGGGGGGAAGGGTGTAAAGACCTGGTGTCAGCACCGGTGGAGAAGCTGAACATGTACGTGGCTGGGGGGAAGGGTGTAAAGAGCTGGTGTCAGCACCGGTGGAGAAGCTGGACATGTACGTGGCTGCTGCTGGCATCAACCCCAACCGGGTGAGTAAATGAGGGTGAGAGGGACCGACCAGAGGAGAGAGGGACGAATTGAGGAAAGAGGGACCACTCCAGAACCTGTGGAGAAGCTGAACATGTACGTGGCTGGGGGGAAGGGTGTAAAGACCTGGTGTCAGCACCGGTGGAGAAGCTGAACATGTACGTGGCTGGGGGGAAGGGTGTAAAGAGCTGGTGTCAGCACCGGTGGAGAAGCTGGACATGTACGTGGCTGCTGCTGGCATCAACCCCAACCGGGTGAGTAAATGAGGGTGAGAGGGACCGACCAGAGGAGAGAGGGACGAATTGAGGAAAGAGGGACCACTCCAGAACCTGTGGAGAAGCTGAACATGTACGTGGCTGGGGGGAAGGGTGTAAAGACCTGGTGTCAGCACCGGTGGAGAAGCTGGACATGTACGTGGCTGCTGCTGGCATCAACCCCAACCGGGTGAGTAAATGAGGGTGAGAGGGACCGACCAGAGGAGAGAGGGACGAATTGAGGAAAGAGGGACCACTCCAGAACCTGTGGAGAAGCTGAACATGTACGTGGCTGGGGGGAAGGGTGTAAAGACCTGGTGTCAGCACCGGTGGAGAAGCTGAACATGTACGTGGCTGGGGGGAAGGGTGTAAAGACCTGGTGTCAGCACCGGTGGAGAAGCTGGACATGTACGTGGCTGCTGCTGGCATCAACCCCAACCGGGTGAGTAAATGAGGGTGAGAGGGACCGACCAGAGGAGAGAGGGACGAATTGAGGAAAGAGGGACCACTCCAGAACCTGTGGAGAAGCTGAACATGTACGTGGCTGGGGGGAAGGGTGTAAAGACCTGGTGTCAGCACCGGTGGAGAAGCTGGACATGTACGTGGCTGCTGCTGGCATCAACCCCAACCGGGTGAGTAAATGAGGGTGAGAGGGACCGACCAGAGGAGAGAGGGACGAATTGAGGAAAGAGGGACCACTCCAGAACCTGTGGAGAAGCTGAACATGTACGTGGCTGGGGGGAAGGGTGTAAAGACCTGGTGTCAGCACCGGTGGAGAAGCTGAACATGTACGTGGCTGGGGGGAAGGGTGTAAAGAGCTGGTGTCAGCACCGGTGGAGAAGCTGGACATGTACGTGGCTGCTGCTGGCATCAACCCCAACCGGGTGAGTAAATGAGGGTGAGAGGGACCGACCAGAGGAGAGAGGGACGAATTGAGGAAAGAGGGACCACTCCAGAACCTGTGGAGAAGCTGAACATGTACGTGGCTGGGGGGAAGGGTGTAAAGACCTGGTGTCAGCACCGGTGGAGAAGCTGAACATGTACGTGGCTGGGGGGAAGGGTGTAAAGAGCTGGTGTCAGCACCGGTGGAGAAGCTGGACATGTACGTGGCTGCTGCTGGCATCAACCCCAACCGGGTGAGTAAATGAGGGTGAGAGGGACCGACCAGAGGAGAGAGGGACGAATTGAGGAAAGAGGGACCACTCCAGAACCTGTGGAGAAGCTGAACATGTACGTGGCTGGGGGGAAGGGTGTAAAGACCTGGTGTCAGCACCGGTGGAGAAGCTGAACATGTACGTGGCTGGGGGGAAGGGTGTAAAGAGCTGGTGTCAGCACCGGTGGAGAAGCTGGACATGTACGTGGCTGCTGCTGGCATCAACCCCAACCGGGTGAGTAAATGAGGGTGAGAGGGACCGACCAGAGGAGAGAGGGACGAATTGAGGAAAGAGGGACCACTCCAGAACCTGTGGAGAAGCTGAACATGTACGTGGCTGGGGGGAAGGGTGTAAAGACCTGGTGTCAGCACCGGTGGAGAAGCTGAACATGTACGTGGCTGGGGGGAAGGGTGTAAAGAGCTGGTGTCAGCACCGGTGGAGAAGCTGGACATGTACGTGGCTGCTGCTGGCATCAACCCCAACCGGGTGAGTAAATGAGGGTGAGAGGGACCGACCAGAGGAGAGAGGGACGAATTGAGGAAAGAGGGACCACTCCAGAACCTGTGGAGAAGCTGAACATGTACGTGGCTGGGGGGAAGGGTGTAAAGACCTGGTGTCAGCACCGGTGGAGAAGCTGAACATGTACGTGGCTGGGGGGAAGGGTGTAAAGAGCTGGTGTCAGCACCGGTGGAGAAGCTGGACATGTACGTGGCTGCTGCTGGCATCAACCCCAACCGGGTGAGTAAATGAGGGTGAGAGGGACCGACCAGAGGAGAGAGGGACGAATTGAGGAAAGAGGGACCACTCCAGAACCTGTGGAGAAGCTGAACATGTACGTGGCTGGGGGGAAGGGTGTAAAGACCTGGTGTCAGCACCGGTGGAGAAGCTGGACATGTACGTGGCTGCTGCTGGCATCAACCCCAACCGGGTGAGTAAATGAGGGTGAGAGGGACCGACCAGAGGAGAGAGGGACGAATTGAGGAAAGAGGGACCACTCCAGAACCTGTGGAGAAGCTGAACATGTACGTGGCTGGGGGGAAGGGTGTAAAGACCTGGTGTCAGCACCGGTGGAGAAGCTGAACATGTACGTGGCTGGGGGGAAGGGTGTAAAGAGCTGGTGTCAGCACCGGTGGAGAAGCTGGACATGTACGTGGCTGCTGCTGGCATCAACCCCAACCGGGTGAGTAAATGAGGGTGAGAGGGACCGACCAGAGGAGAGAGGGACGAATTGAGGAAAGAGGGACCACTCCAGAACCTGTGGAGAAGCTGAACATGTACGTGGCTGGGGGGAAGGGTGTAAAGACCTGGTGTCAGCACCGGTGGAGAAGCTGGACATGTACGTGGCTGCTGCTGGCATCAACCCCAACCGGGTGAGTAAATGAGGGTGAGAGGGACCGACCAGAGGAGAGAGGGACGAATTGAGGAAAGAGGGACCACTCCAGAACCTGTGGAGAAGCTGAACATGTACGTGGCTGGGGGGAAGGGTGTAAAGACCTGGTGTCAGCACCGGTGGAGAAGCTGAACATGTACGTGGCTGGGGGGAAGGGTGTAAAGAGCTGGTGTCAGCACCGGTGGAGAAGCTGGACATGTACGTGGCTGCTGCTGGCATCAACCCCAACCGGGTGAGTAAATGAGGGTGAGAGGGACCGACCAGAGGAGAGAGGGACGAATTGAGGAAAGAGGGACCACTCCAGAACCTGTGGAGAAGCTGAACATGTACGTGGCTGGGGGGAAGGGTGTAAAGACCTGGTGTCAGCACCGGTGGAGAAGCTGGACATGTACGTGGCTGCTGCTGGCATCAACCCCAACCGGGTGAGTAAATGAGGGTGAGAGGGACCGACCAGAGGAGAGAGGGACGAATTGAGGAAAGAGGGACCACTCCAGAACCTGTGGAGAAGCTGAACATGTACGTGGCTGGGGGGAAGGGTGTAAAGACCTGGTGTCAGCACCGGTGGAGAAGCTGAACATGTACGTGGCTGGGGGGAAGGGTGTAAAGAGCTGGTGTCAGCACCGGTGGAGAAGCTGGACATGTACGTGGCTGCTGCTGGCATCAACCCCAACCGGGTGAGTAAATGAGGGTGAGAGGGACCGACCAGAGGAGAGAGGGACGAATTGAGGAAAGAGGGACCACTCCAGAACCTGTGGAGAAGCTGAACATGTACGTGGCTGGGGGGAAGGGTGTAAAGACCTGGTGTCAGCACCGGTGGAGAAGCTGAACATGTACGTGGCTGGGGGGAAGGGTGTAAAGAGCTGGTGTCAGCACCGGTGGAGAAGCTGGACATGTACGTGGCTGCTGCTGGCATCAACCCCAACCGGGTGAGTAAATGAGGGTGAGAGGGACCGACCAGAGGAGAGAGGGACGAATTGAGGAAAGAGGGACCACTCCAGAACCTGTGGAGAAGCTGAACATGTACGTGGCTGGGGGGAAGGGTGTAAAGACCTGGTGTCAGCACCGGTGGAGAAGCTGGACATGTACGTGGCTGCTGCTGGCATCAACCCCAACCGGGTGAGTAAATGAGGGTGAGAGGGACCGACCAGAGGAGAGAGGGACGAATTGAGGAAAGAGGGACCACTCCAGAACCTGTGGAGAAGCTGAACATGTACGTGGCTGGGGGGAAGGGTGTAAAGACCTGGTGTCAGCACCGGTGGAGAAGCTGAACATGTACGTGGCTGGGGGGAAGGGTGTAAAGAGCTGGTGTCAGCACCGGTGGAGAAGCTGGACATGTACGTGGCTGCTGCTGGCATCAACCCCAACCGGGTGAGTAAATGAGGGTGAGAGGGACCGACCAGAGGAGAGAGGGACGAATTGAGGAAAGAGGGACCACTCCAGAACCTGTGGAGAAGCTGAACATGTACGTGGCTGGGGGGAAGGGTGTAAAGACCTGGTGTCAGCACCGGTGGAGAAGCTGAACATGTACGTGGCTGGGGGGAAGGGTGTAAAGAGCTGGTGTCAGCACCGGTGGAGAAGCTGGACATGTACGTGGCTGCTGCTGGCATCAACCCCAACCGGGTGAGTAAATGAGGGTGAGAGGGACCGACCAAAGGAGAGAGGGACGAATTGAGGAAAGAGGGACCACTCCAGAACCTGTGGAGAAGCTGAACATGTACGTGGCTGGGGGGAAGGGTGTAAAGACCTGGTGTCAGCACCGGTGGAGAAGCTGAACATGTACGTGGCTGGGGGGAAGGGTGTAAAGAGCTGGTGTCAGCACCGGTGGAGAAGCTGGACATGTACGTGGCTGCTGCTGGCATCAACCCCAACCGGGTGAGTAAATGAGGGTGAGAGGGACCGACCAGAGGAGAGAGGGACGAATTGAGGAAAGAGGGACCACTCCAGAACCTGTGGAGAAGCTGAACATGTACGTGGCTGGGGGGAAGGGTGTAAAGACCTGGTGTCAGCACCGGTGGAGAAGCTGAACATGTACGTGGCTGGGGGGAAGGGTGTAAAGAGCTGGTGTCAGCACCGGTGGAGAAGCTGGACATGTACGTGGCTGCTGCTGGCATCAACCCCAACCGGGTGAGTAAATGAGGGTGAGAGGGACCGACCAGAGGAGAGAGGGACGAATTGAGGAAAGAGGGACCACTCCAGAACCTGTGGAGAAGCTGAACATGTACGTGGCTGGGGGGAAGGGTGTAAAGAGCTGGTGTCAGCACCGGTGGAGAAGCTGGACATGTACGTGGCTGCTGCTGGCATCAACCCCAACCGGGTGAGTAAATGAGGGTGAGAGGGACCGACCAGAGGAGAGAGGGACGAATTGAGGAAAGAGGGACCACTCCAGAACCTGTGGAGAAGCTGAACATGTACGTGGCTGGGGGGAAGGGTGTAAAGACCTGGTGTCAGCACCGGTGGAGAAGCTGAACATGTACGTGGCTGGGGGGAAGGGTGTAAAGAGCTGGTGTCAGCACCGGTGGAGAAGCTGGACATGTACGTGGCTGCTGCTGGCATCAACCCCAACCGGGTGAGTAAATGAGGGTGAGAGGGACCGACCAGAGGAGAGAGGGACGAATTGAGGAAAGAGGGACCACTCCAGAACCTGTGGAGAAGCTGAACATGTACGTGGCTGGGGGGAAGGGTGTAAAGACCTGGTGTCAGCACCGGTGGAGAAGCTGAACATGTACGTGGCTGGGGGGAAGGGTGTAAAGAGCTGGTGTCAGCACCGGTGGAGAAGCTGGACATGTACGTGGCTGCTGCTGGCATCAACCCCAACCGGGTGAGTAAATGAGGGTGAGAGGGACCGACCAGAGGAGAGAGGGACGAATTGAGGAAAGAGGGACCACTCCAGAACCTGTGGAGAAGCTGAACATGTACGTGGCTGGGGGGAAGGGTGTAAAGACCTGGTGTCAGCACCGGTGGAGAAGCTGAACATGTACGTGGCTGGGGGGAAGGGTGTAAAGAGCTGGTGTCAGCACCGGTGGAGAAGCTGGACATGTACGTGGCTGCTGCTGGCATCAACCCCAACCGGGTGAGTAAATGAGGGTGAGAGGGACCGACCAGAGGAGAGAGGGACGAATTGAGGAAAGAGGGACCACTCCAGAACCTGTGGAGAAGCTGAACATGTACGTGGCTGGGGGGAAGGGTGTAAAGACCTGGTGTCAGCACCGGTGGAGAAGCTGGACATGTACGTGGCTGCTGCTGGCATCAACCCCAACCGGGTGAGTAAATGAGGGTGAGAGGGACCGACCAGAGGAGAGAGGGACGAATTGAGGAAAGAGGGACCACTCCAGAACCTGTGGAGAAGCTGAACATGTACGTGGCTGGGGGGAAGGGTGTAAAGACCTGGTGTCAGCACCGGTGGAGAAGCTGAACATGTACGTGGCTGGGGGGAAGGGTGTAAAGAGCTGGTGTCAGCACCGGTGGAGAAGCTGGACATGTACGTGGCTGCTGCTGGCATCAACCCCAACCGGGTGAGTAAATGAGGGTGAGAGGGACCGACCAGAGGAGAGAGGGACGAATTGAGGAAAGAGGGACCACTCCAGAACCTGTGGAGAAGCTGAACATGTACGTGGCTGGGGGGAAGGGTGTAAAGACCTGGTGTCAGCACCGGTGGAGAAGCTGAACATGTACGTGGCTGGGGGGAAGGGTGTAAAGAGCTGGTGTCAGCACCGGTGGAGAAGCTGGACATGTACGTGGCTGCTGCTGGCATCAACCCCAACCGGGTGAGTAAATGAGGGTGAGAGGGACCGACCAGAGGAGAGAGGGACGAATTGAGGAAAGAGGGACCACTCCAGAACCTGTGGAGAAGCTGAACATGTACGTGGCTGGGGGGAAGGGTGTAAAGACCTGGTGTCAGCACCAGTGGAGAAGCTGAACATGTACGTGGCTGGGGGGAAGGGTGTAAAGAGCTGGTGTCAGCACCGGTGGAGAAGCTGGACATGTACGTGGCTGCTGCTGGCATCAACCCCAACCGGGTGAGTAAATGAGGGTGAGAGGGACCGACCAGAGGAGAGAGGGACGAATTGAGGAAAGAGGGACCACTCCAGAACCTGTGGAGAAGCTGAACATGTACGTGGCTGGGGGGAAGGGTGTAAAGACCTGGTGTCAGCACCGGTGGAGAAGCTGAACATGTACGTGGCTGGGGGGAAGGGTGTAAAGAGCTGGTGTCAGCACCGGTGGAGAAGCTGGACATGTACGTGGCTGCTGCTGGCATCAACCCCAACCGGGTGAGTAAATGAGGGTGAGAGGGACCGACCAGAGGAGAGAGGGACGAATTGAGGAAAGAGGGACCACTCCAGAACCTGTGGAGAAGCTGAACATGTACGTGGCTGGGGGGAAGGGTGTAAAGACCTGGTGTCAGCACCGGTGGAGAAGCTGAACATGTACGTGGCTGGGGGGAAGGGTGTAAAGAGCTGGTGTCAGCACCGGTGGAGAAGCTGGACATGTACGTGGCTGCTGCTGGCATCAACCCCAACCGGGTGAGTAAATGAGGGTGAGAGGGACCGACCAGAGGAGAGAGGGACGAATTGAGGAAAGAGGGACCACTCCAGAACCTGTGGAGAAGCTGAACATGTACGTGGCTGGGGGGAAGGGTGTAAAGACCTGGTGTCAGCACCGGTGGAGAAGCTGAACATGTACGTGGCTGGGGGGAAGGGTGTAAAGAGCTGGTGTCAGCACCGGTGGAGAAGCTGGACATGTACGTGGCTGCTGCTGGCATCAACCCCAACCGGGTGAGTAAATGAGGGTGAGAGGGACCGACCAGAGGAGAGAGGGACGAATTGAGGAAAGAGGGACCACTCCAGAACCTGTGGAGAAGCTGAACATGTACGTGGCTGGGGGGAAGGGTGTAAAGACCTGGTGTCAGCACCGGTGGAGAAGCTGAACATGTACGTGGCTGGGGGGAAGGGTGTAAAGAGCTGGTGTCAGCACCGGTGGAGAAGCTGGACATGTACGTGGCTGCTGCTGGCATCAACCCCAACCGGGTGAGTAAATGAGGGTGAGAGGGACCGACCAGAGGAGAGAGGGACGAATTGAGGAAAGAGGGACCACTCCAGAACCTGTGGAGAAGCTGAACATGTACGTGGCTGGGGGGAAGGGTGTAAAGACCTGGTGTCAGCACCGGTGGAGAAGCTGAACATGTACGTGGCTGGGGGGAAGGGTGTAAAGAGCTGGTGTCAGCACCGGTGGAGAAGCTGGACATGTACGTGGCTGCTGCTGGCATCAACCCCAACCGGGTGAGTAAATGAGGGTGAGAGGGACCGACCAGAGGAGAGAGGGACGAATTGAGGAAAGAGGGACCACTCCAGAACCTGTGGAGAAGCTGAACATGTACGTGGCTGGGGGGAAGGGTGTAAAGACCTGGTGTCAGCACCGGTGGAGAAGCTGAACATGTACGTGGCTGGGGGGAAGGGTGTAAAGAGCTGGTGTCAGCACCGGTGGAGAAGATGGACATGTACGTGGCTGCTGCTGGCATCAACCCCAACCGGGTGAGTAAATGAGGGTGAGAGGGACCGACCAGAGGAGAGAGGGACGAATTGAGGAAAGAGGGACCACTCCAGAACCTGTGGAGAAGCTGAACATGTACGTGGCTGGGGGGAAGGGTGTAAAGACCTGGTGTCAGCACCGGTGGAGAAGCTGAACATGTACGTGGCTGGGGGGAAGGGTGTAAAGAGCTGGTGTCAGCACCGGTGGAGAAGCTGGACATGTACGTGGCTGCTGCTGGCATCAACCCCAACCGGGTGAGTAAATGAGGGTGAGAGGGACCGACCAGAGGAGAGAGGGACGAATTGAGGAAAGAGGGACCACTCCAGAACCTGTGGAGAAGCTGAACATGTACGTGGCTGGGGGGAAGGGTGTAAAGACCTGGTGTCAGCACCGGTGGAGAAGCTGAACATGTACGTGGCTGGGGGGAAGGGTGTAAAGAGCTGGTGTCAGCACCGGTGGAGAAGCTGAACATTTACGTGGCTGGGGGGAAGGGTGTAAAGAGCTGGTGTCAGCACCGGTGGAGAAGCTGAACATGTACGTGGCTGGGGGGAAGGGTGTAAAGAGCTGGTGTCAACACCGGTGGAGAAGCTGAACATGTACGTGGCTGGGGGGAAGGGTGTAAAGAGCTGGTGTCAGCACCGGTGGAGAAGCTGAACATGTACGTGGCTGGGGGGAAGGGTGTAAAGAGCTGGTGTCAGCACCGGTGGAGAAGCTGAACATGTATGTGGCTGTGGGGAAGGGTGTAAAGAGCTGGTGTCAGCACCGGTGGAGAAGCTGAACATGTACGTGGCTGTGGGGAAGGGTGTAAAGACCTGGTGTCAGCACCGGTGGAGAAGCTGAACATGTACGTGGCTGTGGGGAAGGGTGTAAAGACCTGGTGTCAGCACCGGTGGAGAAGCTGAACATGTACGTGGCTGTGGGGAAGGGTGTAAAGAGCTGGTGTCAGCACCGGTGGAGAAGCTGAACATGTATGTGGCTGTGGGGAAGGGTGTAAAGAGCTGGTGTCAGCACCGGTGGAGAAGCTGAACATGTACGTGGCTGTGGGGAAGGGTGTAAAGACCTGGTGTCAGCACCGGTGGAGAAGCTGAACATGTACGTGGCTGTGGGGAAGGGTGTAAAGACCTGGTGTCAGCACCGGTGGAGAAGCTGAACATGTACGTGGCTGTGGGGAAGGGTGTAAAGAGCTGGTGTCAGCACCGGTGGAGAAGCTGAACATGTATGTGGCTGTGGGGAAGGGTGTAAAGAGCTGGTGTCAGCACCGGTGGAGAAGCTGAACATGTACGTGGCTGTGGGGAAGGGTGTAAAGACCTGGTGTCAGCACCGGTGGAGAAGCTGAACATGTACGTGGCTGTGGGGAAGGGTGTAAAGACCTGGTGTCAGCACCGGTGGAGAAGCTGAACATGTACGTGGCTGTGGGGAAGGGTGTAAAGAGCTGGTGTCAGCACCGGTGGAGAAGCTGAACATGTACGTGGCTGTGGGGAAGGGTGTAAAGAGCTGGTGTCAGCACCGGTGGAGAAGCTGAACATGTACGTGGCTGTGGGGAAGGGTGTAAAGAGCTGGTGTCAGCACCGGTGGAGAAGCTGAACATGTACGTGGCTGGGGGGAAGGGTGTAAAGAGCTGGTGTCAGCACCGGTGGAGAAGCTGAACATGTACGTGGCTGTGGGGAAGGGTGTAAAGAGCTGGTGTCAGCACCGGTGGAGAAGCTGAACATGTACGTGGCTGTGGGGAAGGGTGTAAAGAGCTGGTGTCAGCACCGGTGGAGAAGCTGAACATGTACGTGGCTGTGGGGAAGGGTGTAAAGAGCTGGTGTCAGCACCGGTGGAGAAGCTGAACATGTACGTGGCTGTGGGGAAGGGTGTAAAGACCTGGTGTCAGCACCGGTGGAGAAGCTGAACATGTACGTGGCTGTGGGGAAGGGTGTAAAGAGCTGGTGTCAGCACCGGTGGAGAAGCTGAACATGTACGTGGCTGGGGGGAAGGGTGTAAAGAGCTGGTGTCAGCACCGGTGGAGAAGCTGAACATGTACGTGGCTGGGGGGAAGGGTGTAAAGAGCTGGTGTCAGCACCGGTGGAGAAGCTGAACATGTACGTGGCTGTGGGGAAGGGTGTAAAGAGCTGGTGTCAGCACCGGTGGAGAAGCTGAACATGTACGTGGCTGGGGGGAAGGGTGTAAAGAGCTGGTGTCAGCACCGGTGGAGAAGCTGAACATGTACGTGGCTGTGGGGAAGGGTGTAAAGACCTGGTGTCAGCACCGGTGGAGAAGCTGAACATGTACGTGGCTGTGGGGAAGGGTGTAAAGACCTGGTGTCAGCACCGGTGGAGAAGCTGAACATGTACGTGGCTGTGGGGAAGGGTGTAAAGACCTGGTGTCAGCACCGGTGGAGAAGCTGAACATGTACGTGGCTGTGGGGAAGGGTGTAAAGAGCTGGTGTCAGCACCGGTGGAGAAGCTGAACATGTATGTGGCTGTGGGGAAGGGTGTAAAGAGCTGGTGTCAGCACCGGTGGAGAAGCTGAACATGTACGTGGCTGTGGGGAAGGGTGTAAAGACCTGGTGTCAGCACCGGTGGAGAAGCTGAACATGTACGTGGCTGTGGGGAAGGGTGTCAAGACCTGGTGTCAGCACCGGTGGAGAAGCTGAACATGTACGTGGCTGTGGGGAAGGGTGTAAAGAGCTGGTGTCAGCACCGGTGGAGAAGCTGAACATGTATGTGGCTGTGGGGAAGGGTGTAAAGAGCTGGTGTCAGCACCGGTGGAGAAGCTGAACATGTATGTGGCTGTGGGGAAGGGTGTAAAGAGCTGGTGTCAGCACCGGTGGAGAAGCTGAACATGTACGTGGCTGTGGGGAAGGGTGTAAAGAGCTGGTGTCAGCACCGGTGGAGAAGCTGGACATGTACGTGGCTGTGGGGAAGGGTGTAAAGAGCTGGTGTCGGCACCGGTGGAGAAGCTGAACATGTACGTGGCTGTGGGGAAGGGTGTAAAGAGCTGGTGTCAGCACCGGTGGAGAAGCTGAACATGTACGTGGCTGTGGGGAAGGGTGTAAAGAGCTGGTGTCAGCACCGGTGGAGAAGCTGAACATGTACGTGGCTGTGGGGAAGGGTGTAAAGAGCTGGTGTCAGCACCGGTGGAGAAGCTGAACATGTACGTGGCTGTGGGGAAGGGTGTAAAGAGCTGGTGTCAGCACCGGTGGAGAAGCTGAACATGTATGTGGCTGTGGGGAAGGGTGTAAAGAGCTGGTGTCAGCACCGGTGGAGAAGCTGAACATGTACGTGGCTGTGGGGAAGGGTGTAAAGAGCTGGTGTCAGCACCGGTGGAGAAGCTGGACATGTACGTGGCTGTGGGGAAGGGTGTAAAGAGCTGGTGTCAGCACCGGTGGAGAAGCTGAACATGTACGTGGCTGTGGGGAAGGGTGTAAAGAGCTGGTGTCAGCACCGGTGGAGAAGCTGGACATGTACGTGGCTGTGGGGAAGGGTGTAAAGAGCTGGTGTCAGCACCGGTGGAGAAGCTGAACATGTACGTTGCTGTGGGGAAGGGTGTAAAGAGCTGGTGTCAGCACCGGTGAAGAAGCTGGACATGTACGTGGCTGTGGGGAAGGGTGTAAAGAGCTGGTGTCAGCACCGGTGGAGAAGCTGAACATGTATGTGGCTGTGGGGAAGGGTGTAAAGAGCTGGTGTCAGCACCGGTGGAGAAGCTGAACATGTACGTGGCTGTGGGGAAGGGTGTAAAGACCTGGTGTCAGCACCGGTGGAGAAGCTGAACATGTACGTGGCTGTGGGGAAGGGTGTAAAGACCTGGTGTCAGCACCGGTGGAGAAGCTGAACATGTACGTGGCTGTGGGGAAGGGTGTAAAGAGCTGGTGTCAGCACCGGTGGAGAAGCTGAACATGTATGTGGCTGTGGGGAAGGGTGTAAAGAGCTGGTGTCAGCACCGGTGGAGAAGCTGAACATGTACGTGGCTGTGGGGAAGGGTGTAAAGACCTGGTGTCAGCACCGGTGGAGAAGCTGAACATGTACGTGGCTGTGGGGAAGGGTGTAAAGACCTGGTGTCAGCACCGGTGGAGAAGCTGAACATGTACGTGGCTGTGGGGAAGGGTGTAAAGAGCTGGTGTCAGCACCGGTGGAGAAGCTGAACATGTATGTGGCTGTGGGGAAGGGTGTAAAGAGCTGGTGTCAGCACCGGTGGAGAAGCTGAACATGTACGTGGCTGTGGGGAAGGGTGTAAAGAGCTGGTGTCAGCACCGGTGGAGAAGCTGGACATGTACGTGGCTGTGGGGAAGGGTGTAAAGAGCTGGTGTCAGCACCGGTGGAGAAGCTGAACATGTACGTGGCTGTGGGGAAGGGTGTAAAGAGCTGGTGTCAGCACCGGTGGAGAAGCTGAACATGTACGTGGCTGTGGGGAAGGGTGTAAAGAGCTGGTGTAAGCACCGGTGGAGAAGCTGAACATGTACGTGGCTGTGGGGAAGGGTGTAAAGAGCTGGTGTCAGCACCGGTGGAGAAGCTGAACATGTACGTGGCTGTGGGGAAGGGTGTAAAGAGCTGGTGTCAGCACCGGTGGAGAAGCTGAACATGTATGTGGCTGTGGGGAAGGGTGTAAAGAGCTGGTGTCAGCACCGGTGGAGAAGCTGAACATGTACGTGGCTGTGGGGAAGGGTGTAAAGAGCTGGTGTCAGCACCGGTGGAGAAGCTGGACATGTACGTGGCTGTGGGGAAGGGTGTAAAGAGCTGGTGTCAGCACCGGTGGAGAAGCTGAACATGTACGTGGCTGTGGGGAAGGGTGTAAAGAGCTGGTGTCAGCACCGGTGGAGAAGCTGAACATGTACGTGGCTGTGGGGAAGGGTGTAAAGAGCTGGTGTCAGCACCGGTGGAGAAGCTGGACATGTACGTGGCTGTGGGGAAGGGTGTAAAGAGCTGGTGTCAGCACCGGTGGAGAAGCTGAACATGTATGTGGCTGTGGGGAAGGGTGTAAAGAGCTGGTGTCAGCACCGGTGGAGAAGCTGAACATGTACGTGGCTGTGGGGAAGGGTGTAAAGAGCTGGTGTCAGCACCGGTGGAGAAGCTGAACATGTACGTGGCTGTGGGGAAGGGTGTAAAGAGCTGGTGTCAGCACCGGTGGAGAAGCTGGACATGTACGTGGCTGTGGGGAAGGGTGTAAAGAGCTGGTGTCAGCACCGGTGGAGAAGCTGAACATGTACGTGGCTGTGAGGAAGGGTGTAAAGAGCTGGTGTCAGCACCGGTGGAGAAGCTGGACATGTACGTGGCTGGGGGGAAGGGTGTAAAGAGCTGGTGTCAGCACCGGTGGAGAAGCTGAACATGTACGTGGCTGTGGGGAAGGGTGTAAAGACCTGGTGTCAGCACCGGTGGAGAAGCTGAACATGTACGTGGCTGTGGGGAAGGGTGTAAAGACCTGGTGTCAGCACCGGTGGAGAAGCTGAACATGTACGTGGCTGTGGGGAAGGGTGTAAAGAGCTGGTGTCAGCACCGGTGGAGAAGCTGAACATGTACGTGGCTGGGGGGAAGGGTGTAAAGAGCTGGTGTCAGCACCGGTGGAGAAGCTGAACATGTACGTGGCTGGGGGGAAGGGTGTAAAGAGCTGGTGTCAGCACCGGTGGAGAAGCTGAACATGTACGTGGCTGTGGGGAAGGGTGTAAAGAGCTGGTGTCAGCACCGGTGGAGAAGCTGAACATGTACGTGGCTGGGGGGAAGGGTGTAAAGAGCTGGTGTCAGCACCGGTGGAGAAGCTGAACATGTACGTGGCTGTGGGGAAGGGTGTAAAGAGCTGGTGTCAGCACCGGTGGAGAAGCTGAACATGTACGTGGCTGTGGGGAAGGGTGTAAAGACCTGGTGTCAGCACCGGTGGAGAAGCTGAACATGTACGTGGCTGTGGGGAAGGGTGTAAAGACCTGGTGTCAGCACCGGTGGAGAAGCTGAACATGTACGTGGCTGTGGGGAAGGGTGTAAAGAGCTGGTGTCAGCACCGGTGGAGAAGCTGAACATGTATGTGGCTGTGGGGAAGGGTGTAAAGAGCTGGTGTCAGCACCGGTGGAGAAGCTGAACATGTACGTGGCTGTGGGGAAGGGTGTAAAGACCTGGTGTCAGCACCGGTGGAGAAGCTGAACATGTACGTGGCTGTGGGGAAGGGTGTAAAGACCTGGTGTCAGCACCGGTGGAGAAGCTGAACATGTACGTGGCTGTGGGGAAGGGTGTAAAGAGCTGGTGTCAGCACCGGTGGAGAAGCTGAACATGTATGTGGCTGTGGGGAAGGGTGTAAAGAGCTGGTGTCAGCACCGGTGGAGAAGCTGAACATGTATGTGGCTGTGGGGAAGGGTGTAAAGAGCTGGTGTCAGCACCGGTGGAGAAGCTGAACATGTACGTGGCTGTGGGGAAGGGTGTAAAGAGCTGGTGTCAGCACCGGTGGAGAAGCTGGACATGTACGTGGCTGTGGGGAAGGGTGTAAAGAGCTGGTGTCGGCACCGGTGGAGAAGCTGAACATGTACGTGGCTGTGGGGAAGGGTGTAAAGAGCTGGTGTCAGCACCGGTGGAGAAGCTGAACATGTACGTGGCTGTGGGGAAGGGTGTAAAGAGCTGGTGTCAGCACCGGTGGAGAAGCTGAACATGTACGTGGCTGTGGGGAAGGGTGTAAAGAGCTGGTGTCAGCACCGGTGGAGAAGCTGAACATGTACGTGGCTGTGGGGAAGGGTGTAAAGAGCTGGTGTCAGCACCGGTGGAGAAGCTGAACATGTATGTGGCTGTGGGGAAGGGTGTAAAGAGCTGGTGTCAGCACCGGTGGAGAAGCTGAACATGTACGTGGCTGTGGGGAAGGGTGTAAAGAGCTGGTGTCAGCACCGGTGGAGAAGCTGGACATGTACGTGGCTGTGGGGAAGGGTGTAAAGAGCTGGTGTCAGCACCGGTGGAGAAGCTGAACATGTACGTGGCTGTGGGGAAGGGTGTAAAGAGCTGGTGTCAGCACCGGTGGAGAAGCTGGACATGTACGTGGCTGTGGGGAAGGGTGTAAAGAGCTGGTGTCAGCACCGGTGGAGAAGCTGAACATGTACGTTGCTGTGGGGAAGGGTGTAAAGAGCTGGTGTCAGCACCGGTGAAGAAGCTGGACATGTACGTGGCTGTGGGGAAGGGTGTAAAGAGCTGGTGTCAGCACCGGTGGAGAAGCTGAACATGTATGTGGCTGTGGGGAAGGGTGTAAAGAGCTGGTGTCAGCACCGGTGGAGAAGCTGAACATGTACGTGGCTGTGGGGAAGGGTGTAAAGACCTGGTGTCAGCACCGGTGGAGAAGCTGAACATGTACGTGGCTGTGGGGAAGGGTGTAAAGACCTGGTGTCAGCACCGGTGGAGAAGCTGAACATGTACGTGGCTGTGGGGAAGGGTGTAAAGAGCTGGTGTCAGCACCGGTGGAGAAGCTGAACATGTATGTGGCTGTGGGGAAGGGTGTAAAGAGCTGGTGTCAGCACCGGTGGAGAAGCTGAACATGTACGTGGCTGTGGGGAAGGGTGTAAAGACCTGGTGTCAGCACCGGTGGAGAAGCTGAACATGTACGTGGCTGTGGGGAAGGGTGTAAAGAGCTGGTGTCAGCACCGGTGGAGAAGCTGGACATGTACGTGGCTGTGGGGAAGGGTGTAAAGAGCTGGTGTCAGCACCGGTGGAGAAGCTGAACATGTACGTGGCTGTGGGGAAGGGTGTAAAGAGCTGGTGTCAGCACCGGTGGAGAAGCTGAACATGTACGTGGCTGTGGGGAAGGGTGTAAAGAGCTGGTGTCAGCACCGGTGGAGAAGCTGGACATGTACGTGGCTGTGGGGAAGGGTGTAAAGAGCTGGTGTCAGCACCGGTGGAGAAGCTGGACATGTACGTGGCTGCTGCAGGCATCAACCCCAACCGGGCTGGTTGGGCAGTCAGGGAAGCACCAGCACTGGCGCAGGTGATGAAGACAGTCACGGTGATGTGCCTGTGCTGGTTGGGCAGTCAGGGAAGCACCAGCACTGGCGCAGGTGATGAAGACAGTCACGGTGATGTGCCTGTGCTGGTTGGGCAGTCAGGGAAGCACCAGCACTGGCGCAGGTGATGAAGACAGTCACGGTGATGTGCCTGTGCTGGTTGGGCAGTCAGGGAAGCACCAGCACTGGCGCAGGTGATGAAGACAGTCACGGTGATGTGCCTGGGCTGGTTGGGCAGTCAGGGAAGCACCAGCACTGGCGCAGGTGATGAAGACAGTCACGGTGATGTGCCTGTGCTGGTTGGGCAGTCAGGGAAGCACCAGCACTGGCGCAGGTGATGAAGACAGTCACGGTGATGTGCCTGTGCTGGTTGGGCAGTCAGGGAAGCACCAGCACTGGCGCAGGTGATGAAGACAGTCACGGTGATGTGCCTGTGCTGGTTGGGCAGTCAGGGAAGCACCAGCACTGGCGCAGGTGATGAAGACAGTCATGGTGATGTGCCTGTGCTGGTTGGGCAGTCAGGGAAGCACCAGCACTGGCGCAGGTGATGAAGACAGTCACGGTGATGTGCCTGTGCTGGTTGGGCAGTCAGGGAAGCACCAGCACTGGCGCAGGTGATGAAGACAGTCACGGTGATGTGCCTGTGCTGGTTGGGCAGTCAGGGAAGCACCAGCACTGGCGCAGGTGATGAAGACAGTCACGGTGATGTGCCTGTGCTGGTTGGGCAGTCAGGGAAGCACCAGCACTGGCGCAGGTGATGAAGACAGTCACGGTGATGTGCCTGTGCTAGTTGGGCAGTCAGGGAAGCACCAGCACTGGCGCAGGTGATGAAGACAGTCACGGTGATGTGCCTGTGCTGGTTGGGCAGTCAGGGAAGCACCAGCACTGGCGCAGGTGATGAAGACAGTCACGGTGATGTGCCTGTGCTGGTTGGGCAGTCAGGGAAGCACCAGCACTGGCGCAGGTGATGAAGACAGTCACGGTGATGTGCCTGTGCTGGTTGGGCAGTCAGGGAAGCACCAGCACTGGCGCAGGTGATGAAGACAGTCACGGTGATGTGCCTGTGCTGGTTGGGCAGTCAGGGAAGCACCAGCACTGGCGCAGGTGATGAAGACAGTCACGGTGATGTGCCTGTGCTGGTTGGGCAGTCAGGGAAGCACCAGCACTGGCGCAGGTGATGAAGACAGTCACGGTGATGTGCCTGTGCTGGTTGGGCAGTCAGGGAAGCACCAGCACTGGCGCAGGTGATGAAGACAGTCACGGTGATGTGCCTGTGCTGGTTGGGCAGTCAGGGAAGCACCAGCACTGGCGCAGGTGATGAAGACAGTCACGGTGATGTGCCTGTGCTGGTTGGGCAGTCAGGGAAGCACCAGCACTGGCGCAGGTGATGAAGACAGTCACGGTGATGTGCCTGTGCTGTTTGGGCTGTTGGGCAAGCACCACACACCAGAGCCTGGTGTCACGGTGATGCACGGCTGTGCTGTGTGGGCTGTTGGGCGAGCACCACCTGTTTGACAAGGACGCTCTGAGATCTGTCAAGAACTCTCATCTCCCTGTGAGTGCAAAACGGTGCTGTGCGGTGGGAAATGGTTGGGCGATCACCACCTGTTTGACAAGGACGCTCTGAGATCTGTCAAGAACTCTGTCGTGCTAGCCACCAAGTGTTACAGCAGGCACTGTGCGTTTGAAACTGTCGGTCCCACAGCTTCCTTTGCAGGAAGGATAGGAACTGTGCTTCCTTTGCTCCTTCCTTCTTGTCAGGGTCCTCTCATCTTCACACATCTCTGTTCCTATCCTCCCCCATCCAGCGGAGTGCACGGCGCAGCAAGCGTTTGAAGCCGTGGGTCCCAACGCCCTCTTCCTCTCTGGAGTCAGCTACCCCTCTGTCCGCTTCCGTAAGTTTCTGAATCGCCTCGATGCGACTTTTTCAGTTGACTCAAAAGTCAACTCAAAAGTCAACTCAAAGGTCAACTCAAAAGTCATCGCGTCCCAACGCGCTCTTCCTCTTTGGAGTCAGCTCCCCCTCCGTCCGTGAGCTCCCCTCCTCGATCTTACCCCCTCCTATTCTACATCCTCGCTTGCATATTGACTCTGTGCCCGCTTTGACAAGCTTCTTTTGAGTCGACTCAAAAGTCATCTCTAAGGTCAGCTACCCCTCCGTCCGTGAGCTCCCCTCCTCGATCTTACCCCCTCCTATTCTACATCCCCGGTTGCATATTGACTCTGTGCCCGCTTTGATAAGCTTCTCGCAACCTGACAGCATCTTTGACTTTTGAGTCGACTCAAAAGTAACTCTGTGCCTGCTTTGATGAGCTTCTCGCAACCTGACAGCATCTTTTGACTTTTGAGTCGACTCAAAAGTAACTCTGTGCCTGCTTTGATGAGCTTCTCGCAACCTGATAGCATCTTTTGACTTTTGAGTCGACTCAAAAGTAACTGTGTGCCTGCTTTGATGAGCTTCTCGCAACCTGACAACATCTTTTGACTTTTGAGTCGACTCAAAAGTAACTCTGTGCCTGCTTTGATAAGCTTCTCGCAACCTGACAGCATCTTTTGCCTGTGCTCTTGTTAGTGCCGTGTGCTGAGTGTGCTGTTTCCTGTGTGTTGTGTGCTCTTGTCTGTGCTGAGTGTGCTGTTTCTCGCAACCTGACAGCATCTTTTGCCTGTGCTCTTGTCAGTGCCGTGTGCTGAGTGTGCTGTTTCCTGTGTGTTGTGTGCTCTTGTCTGTGCTGAGTGTGCTGTTTCTCGCAACCTGACAGCATCTTTTGCCTGTGCTCTTGTCAGTGCCGTGTGCTGAGTGTGCTGTTTCCTGTGTGTTGTGTGCTCTTGTCTGTGCTGAGTGTGCTGTTTCTCGCAACCTGACAGCATCTTTTGCCTGTGCTCTTGTCAGTGCCGTGTGCTGAGTGTGCTGTTTCCTGTGTGTTGTGTGCTCTTGTCTGTGCTGAGTGTGCTGTTTCTCGCAACCTGACAGCATCTTTTGCCTGTGCTCTTGTCAGTGCCGTGTGCTGAGTGTGCTGTTTCCTGTGTGTTGTGTGCTCTTGTCTGTGCTGAGTGTGCTGTTTCTCGCAACCTGACAGCATCTTTTGCCTGTGCTCTTGTCAGTGCCGTGTGCTGAGTGTGCTGTTTCCTGTGTGTTGTGTGCTCTTGTCTGTGCTGAGTGTGCTGTTTCTCGCAACCTGACAGCATCTTTTGCCTGTGCTCTTGTCTGTGCTGTGCTGTGCTGCTGCCACCAGCGGATGGCAAGATCGGCCATTCCACCCAGGGCAACCACATCTTCCTCTTCCCAGGGTAGGCCGCTTTTTCCTTGCACCACCACCACCACCATGCTTTGCCTTCAAACTGGGTGGTTCGTGCAATGTGCCATGTACCATTCCACCCAGGGAAACCACATCTTCCTCCTCCCCTCTATGGGTCACCTCACACCGCTACCTCCACCGCACCCGCCCTCATGTCACCTCATCTCACCTCATGTCACCTCATGACCTCATACACTCACACCCTCACGCCCCCCATCTCCTTGTGTGTTTCCCCCTTTCCCATCCCATCCCATCCCATCCCATCCCATCCCATCCCATCCCATCCCGTCCCATCCCGTCCCACCGCTTCCCACCCCAGCATTGCGGCCGGAGCACTGCTATCGGGCGCTCGCCTGGTGTCTGAAGGAATGATCCACGCAGCAGCCAACGAGTGAGTTTGGGCTCTTTTTTTTTTTTTTTTTTTTTTTTTAGGAAACGGGTTCTCGAACATTAGCTGGTTGTTGATATCACTCGATGGTGCTCGTGTCGTGTTTGATCAAAAGATCCACAGTGCAGCCAACGAGTGAGATGCTTCCATTACAAGGCACCTCTTGCTGCCACCATTAACCGCTGCACTCTGCCTGCCTTGGAACATAGATCCCCCTCCCACCTCGTCCCCCCTGCCCCTATTTCCCTCCTCTCCCCGCCATGCTTCCACCGCCCTCCAGGGTGGCGCACTATTTCTCACGATGACGTCAAGAAGGGCATTCCTCCCACCTCTTCCCCCGTGTCTCTATTTCCCTCCTCTCCCGGCCATGCTTCCACCGCCCTTTAGGTTGGCGCACTATATTTCGGACGATAAGGTGCCCCTCCCTGCCTTTCCCCTCTCTCCCACCTCTTCCCCTCTGCCCTTCTTTCTCCCCGCCATGGTTCCACTGCCCTCTAGGGTGGTGCACTCTATTTCACACGATGAGGTGCCCCTCCCTGCCCTTCCCCACTCTCCCTCCTCTCCTCGCCATGCTTCCACTACCCTCCAGAGTGGCGCACTATTTCTCACGATGACGTCAAGAAGGGCATTCTCTCCCACCTCTTCCCCCGTGTCTCTATTTCCCTCCTCTCCCGGCCATGCTTCCACTACCCTCCAGGTTGGCGCACTATATTTCACACGATGAGGTGCCCCTCCCTGCCCTTCCCCTCTCTCCCACCTCTTCCCCTCTGCCCCTCTTTCTCCCCGCCATGCTTCCACCGCCCTCCAGGGTGGCGCACTAAATTCCAGACGATGACGTCAAGAGGGGAATTCCCTTTCCGTGCCCCTCTTGCCCCCCCTGCCCTCTCGTCCCCATCTCTTCCCCTGTGTCTCGCTATCCCGCCTCGTCCCTTCATGCTTCCACCACCTTCCCAGGGTGGCGCACTATATTTCAGACGATGACGTCAAGAAGGGGATTCTCTTCCCGTCGCTATCCAGGTATGCAAAAACCCTCTCACACATGTATCTGAAGTCGACTCAAGAAGACACACCCGTCACTATCCAGGTATGCAAAAGTCACCTCACACGTGTATCTGAAGTCGATTCAAGACACACCCATCACTATTCAGGCATGCTAAAATCACCGCACACGTGTATTTTGAGCCGACTCCAGCCACACCCGTCACTGCCCAGGTGAGGCAAAGCCACGTCAGGTTTCTACTAGGCCAGGGAGCCTTTGAGGCTTTGGGCTCAAAGCCACGTCCTCATCCTTTATCGGCGCACCTTTGAGCTTAATCTAAATGTTTTCTACTCGCTAACCCGGTATGAAAAGGCTGCTGCTACCTTCCCTGGGCTGCTAGTGAGGTGAGCTTTCCTCTTGCCTCTGCATTTCACTGTCAAATTGACCCCATGGCCGACTCAGAAGGGCTTTAATCGCCAGAGGCAAGAGGAAAACTCACCTCAGCAGCTATCCAGAGTGAACGAGTCCACTCTCCCCCAACCTGTCCACTCAAGAGTCATTCAGTTGTGCCAAACCCACTTGCTGTCAAGTAGTGAAGGAGTCCGCTCTTCCCCACCCTGCCAACCTTGCTCGCCCTCTCCTCTCCCTCTCCTCTCCTTCTCCTCTCCCTCTCCTCTCCCAGCATTCGTGACATCACATCACACGTCGCAGTGGCCGTGGTTTACAAAGCAGCAGGGGAGAAAAGTCTGTTCCTAATACTCCCCACCCTTTCCCTGCCCCACACCACCCGGCCAATCTCCCTGTTCCAGCATTCGTGACATCACATCACACGTCGCAGTGGCCGTGGCTCGCAAAGCAGCAGAGGAGGGATTGGCTGAGGGCATTCCCAGCCTGCATGCCGATCAGCTGCTGACGCTTTCCAAGGTATGCACATGTTGACCCGTGCACACCTTATGATACCATCTTATCACATTGACTTCATATGATCATGGCGTTTTGCATCATGAATGTTGGGTGGAAATTGCATTTTGAGCAGGAGGGTTTAGACCAAGTGCTTTGCAGTCGATGGAAGAAGGGCCTGTCTGATTGGTGTACAAATTTGGGGCCAAAGTTTAGTCCAATCTAGACTCGCAAAAGAACCCACTTTTTGCCCAAGTGCTTTGCAGTTGCACGGCCAACCCGTACATGAGACCCTGGCTTTAAGGAAGCAGGTGGAGAAGCGCACATGGGTACCTGCGTACTCTCCACTCATTTATGGGGCGGATTTGGCTAGATAGTCGTGATTCAGTCGATGACTAATAATACTTCTTCAAGCATTGATATGCTCGTATCAGTGCAGAATAATGTGAAACTACATGCCCTTATATAAGGCATTCTCGTTGAAAAACAATTTAAATGAACCATGCAGCATGTGCTCCTGTTTCTATGAATACATGATTTAGTAACAAAATAGATATTAGCAGCAACCCAGCAACTCAGAATCATACATACATGATCCTTGTGTGAGATTCTCAGAAACATACATACATGAACATACAGTTTCATACAGTAACGGGTTTGACTGGCAGGGGAACACGTGAAGTATGGTCAGCATCATGTGAGCTGAGGCAACTGGGGCAGATGCCACGTAGCCCAACACGCTTCTGACTCATCGTATGCTCTATTTAGTAATGCTGTCATGCCAGTGACACAAAAGGAGTGGATTGTGACGTCACATAGTCATGTTCAAACGTTGCCGGTGACTTGGTTCATGTGCATTCGATGTACCATCACCTCGGGGGAAGGTCCTCCCTATCAGCATGCACTGTGCATGTATGATGGTGTTGCTGCTGCATGGAACCAACCACTCGAACGCGTTCTCTGTTTTCCATCACGTGCACGAAAATTCGCGAACCTACCACCACCACCGTCCTCTTCGCATACCGCTTCATCAGATTGGTGGTGCCAGTCTGTCTTGCACCGCTCAGCACGTTTCGCCGGATGGGATTGGCTCAGCGACACCAGCACCATGAAAGTTTCGCTAGTGACGCAACGGGACTGGTTCCACAATTACCAGAGCAGCAAATCCCGAGGCCAGCGGTGCGTTATCCACATCAATTTCGACCAATCGGTGCTGCTCTTTCCAATCACGAATGTTCGAGATAAGGCTTGAGTGGTCTGGAAGCAAGAACCGTGGTCGCCGGCGTCGCCAAGTAACATCGCAAGGAAGTTCCCCCACCCAAGATTATTCAACCCCCATCTACACCCTCCTTCCCTCCCATCCCGTTCTTGGGATTCCCACAGCTCCATTTCTTGAGCGAGGTGGCCTCATTTCTTCCTGTACAGTTCTGGTTTCTTGATTTCGTTTCACAGCACTGCCGTGGTTCGGATGGACAGCATCAGAGCGGACTGCCAGGCCAACGTCTCGTGACGCGCTACCTTGGGTTCATCTGGCTGTGAGCATTACGCCGTGATGATGATCTCTTGGTCATGTGTCCGTGATTTGTTGATGGCGTCTGAGTTACTTGGTACAGAGTCCCGTGGTTCCAGTATTCTATGGGCCGTGTGGTCGTCCTATTCGTTCGGTTGAGGTTACTGTGTTACCGTTGAACCCCGTTGGCAAATTTGACGTCGTCAGTTTTGAACCATGAGGCTCGTTTTTCGAAGTCACCTGGATGCTTACACGTCCTCGAATCCCGCAAGGGCTGTCGACGCTTTAGAGAACACGAAGGGCTTGTCACCGTTCGCCCTAGGGTCGCTATGTCCGCGATATTTTGGCACAGTTTGAAGCTATCGAAGCGTAAGATCGATTTTTGGTTGAGCGCATCGGATTTTGCCGTGGAAGAGTTTTACTCTCGGTCGTGATACCGTCGTGAGCGTCTTGAAGAGCGAAGGGTCCGTGCGAAGCGCGTGATTTATTCAGCATATGAGTTGGATGGTCGAGACTTCTGAACGATTCGAATGAGTGGGCCGTTCGTTGCCCTGTAACTGTGTTTGTATTCTGAAATATATACGTGAGATGGAAGGTTATATTGGTTATATAAGATGTATCCGCTTGTGGAGAGTGAGGTTAACATTTTGATGTATGCCTATTCTACGCATGTAAGGACGACTATGCTACTAGGATTGTGACATGTTTGTACTCTTACGCAGGTTTTCAATGGATGCGGCTGTGTGCGCCCACTTCCCGGGGTCCAAATGTTTGTATTTGTTCTTTTGCTGTCAGCAGCTAAGAGGGATCAAGCAGGACTTCGGAGAAATTTGAAACGAATCTGGTAGTCGTCGGGGGGGTTAGCTTCTGCTTGTCTGTAATTGTTTTGTAGTCTGCAGGTCTCAAGGCAAAGGCGAAACGAAGTCGTAGTGTGGGATTGCCTTGCTGGCTCTTTCCGTCGCATCCCTCTCTCTTCTTGACAGGATTCGTCGTCCGACATCCTTCAACTCGCGGACTCGCAGTAACCCGTTAGGAGCTCTTATTGGAACAGCAGCTGCAGCCCTCCCAGACAGCGCAGACACGAATATGAAGATATCACTTGGAGGAGGTTTTGTATCTTGTGCACTCCGCTAACAGGTGGTGTTTCTACCACGGTTCCGTCCAGTTCCTGCCCGGGTGCTCCTCCCTCCACCCCATCCCCCCAAGGGGGCTCTGGGGCTCTCACCTTTTTTCTGCTGCCCTTTGCTGTGTGGCTGTTGTTGCCCTACAAGCAGCACAGTATGACGGACGCGTGAATTTATTTCCTTTACAACCGACTCGTCGCAGTTGCTTCGAGAGGTCGTGCACAGCCGTCGCTTCTGTCTACCGTCAAATCTAGGCCAGCTCACCTGCGTTCGGTCACCTTACCTACGTTTGTCGTTTTGACTGGTCCCGTGTCGGTACTGCGTCCTCCCGCGCTCTTGCGTGCGTTTCCGCTAGCTGGTCTTTCTTCGTCTGCCCACCCCCCACCCCACCTCATCCCCTCCGGGGGCTCTGGGGCTTCAAAATATCTCGTGTTCTTCTTGGTCTTGCTCTGTTTCTGTCAGCAGCACAGCAGGCTGACTCATCGTGCACCACGCGCCACACACCACGCGACACGCTTGAAATTCATCCAGCCATTGATGGGACGATCGGGTAGCTATTGCTGTGACTTGTTACGTTTCGATGTCCGCTGCGATTTCTTCGAGAGTCCTTACCGCGTCGTTGACCTTGCGTTGCTGCTCGTATGTGTCAGGCTCGCTGTTGTGTTAGGTTTGCTGTGTCTCGCACCCCTCCCGTCCCCATCCCCTTCGGGGGCTCTGGGGTTTCAGTTTTCCTCCTCCCTCCGTCCCCGTAGTCAGTTCCATGCCAGCAGTCTGGCGGACAGGACGCCGTCCGAGTAGCCTTCGGTACTAGCGGCCCTTCGCAGCACGTGACGGAGATTTGCTCATGAAAGACCGGGTAGCTGTAGCTCTGTGCTGGTGTGTGCGTTTTTTACGTCTACGTTTAACTGATGACTTCGTTCCGTCACAGTCTCGGATTAGAGTTTCCTTGGTTGCTCCGTCTAGTGCCAGGCTTGTTGCCTCTTGGTCCCCTCCCCCCCTCCCCATCCCCTTCGGGGGCCCTGGGGTTTGAGTTTTCCTCTTCTGCCCCCCTCCGGTCTGTTAGTCCCTACCAGCAGCACATCAGGTGTCTGCGACTAGTTCTCCTCGCTTATTGGCCCATAAACCTCAAGAACAGACAGCCCACTGCGGACGCTGAACGGTCGGTGTGGTCGATTGTAGTAACCACCTTCGCGTTTCTTTTGTTTTTAGTATGCCCCTCGCCATTAGCTGCGTCCTTTCCCTGTGACCCCTCGTCTAGGCTGTAGGCGCGATCTCGTTTCACTCGTTCCGTTACACGTGCGCTCTTCCTGGTTGGCGTCCCCCTTCCCTCCCCCCTGGGGCCCCCTGGCCCCGTAACCTGTGTCTCGTTCCTCTCTCCCTCGTGTAGCCACACTGCGCGTGTCCCCACAGGCCGCCTTCCCCTGCGGTCGGTCGTCCCTAAGCCTTCAGGTGTTCCGCTCTTCCTCGCCAGGTTTCTTGCCTTCCTCGGTGCTCTGCTGACCCGTTATTGTCTCGGTCCATCGCAGCTCCCTCCATCGTCCTTCGTGCAGTGTGTCAGACGTCGGTGCTCTTGGCCTGTCTTGTCGCGTCGAGTCCTCCTAGCCTCCTCGTTGGCGTTCCCCGCTCCTGTCGCCCCTCCCCCCCCCCCCCCCGGGCCCCTGGCCCCATAACCTGTGTCTGTTTCCCTTGCTCTCCAAGCCACACCGCTCTCGTCCCCACAGGCCGCGTTCCCCCACCTCTCTCTCGGCCGTCCCTTTTGGTTCAGCCGCGTTGCTACTCCTCAGGTTCCCCAACCATTGTGACTCTTGACTGTTCCATTCCTCGTCAGTGCTGTAGACGCTGGTTGTCTTGGCCTGTCTTGTTGCGTCGAATCCTCCTAGCCTTCTCGTTGGCGTTCCCCGCTTCTGTCCACCCCCCCCCCCCGGGCCCCCTGGCCCCATAACCTGTTTCTGTTTCCCTTCCTCTCCAAGCCACACCGCTCTCGCCCCCACAGGCCGTGTTCCTCTGTCTCTCCCTTGGCCGTCCCTACTCGTTCAGCCGCGTTGCTACTCCTAAGGTTCCCCAACCGTTGACTCTTGGCTGTAGACGTGTTCCGCTCCTCGTCAGTGCTGTAGACTTCGGTGCTCTTGGCCTGTCTTCCTTGCCTTGGTCCCTCTCCTGGTTGGCGCTTTCTGCCGCTCCCCTCTCCCCCCCCGTCCCCCTCCCTGGGCCCCCCTGGGCCCATAACCTGTTTTCTCCTCCTTCCTCTTGTAGCTTCCCCTCGTTGCTTTCCCGCAGGTTGTGCTCCTAGGTTTTCTTCTCTTCTTCCGCCGCCTCTGCCCGCGCTCCTGGTTTGCTAAGCTTCCTGCGTCGCGTTAGCTACTGCCACGTGTTTCCCAACCGTTGCTTCATCCCTGCGCGCCTCTGCGGTCTCGTACGCTCCCCCTGCCGCCTCTGTTCTCGCTTTCTCTCCACCAAGGTTCCTGGGCTAGTGGTTCGATCCAGCAGTGCGTTTCTCCTTTTTCTTCCCTGCCTCCTTGCTGCCTTACCTTCCCTCTTAAGCGTTCCTTGACTGTTGTGGTTAGTGCTCCTCCTCTCCGTCCCGTCCCGTCCTCTCCCCTCCCCTCCCCCGGGCCCCCTGGCCCCATAACCTGTGTCCTCTCCGCGTCTCTTCCCCCGCCAGTCAACCCCCCCGTCCAGGCTGCGTGATGTGCCGCGCTTCTCGCCCTCCCCCTCCCTGCTTCATCCCTACCCGCCCTGCGCCATCTCTACCTGCGTCTTCTCCCCGCCCGCGCTCTTCGTGTGTTTGCTACTACACCTCCGTTGCCTCTTTCTGCACGTGTCTACTTCCGTCTGCTCGTCTGCTTCTGCTTACGTGTCTACTCGTCCGTCCACTCGTCTACTGCCTTCTACGTGTTTGCTTCCGTCTACACGTCTACTTCCGTCTACACGTCTACTACCGTTTACACGTCTACTACCGTTTACACGTCTACTGCCGTTTACACGTCTACTGCCTGTCGCCCTTCCGTTCCGAGTCGACTCCGCCTGTCCTGTACCGGTGTGTCTGGAGGTTTGTGCCCTAAGTTTTGTGTGATCTGAAGTTCCTAGTTTGTTGCGCACATACCAGATAATGAGTTGTATGTCGGCGTGTCGTTCCAGGCCGTAGCGTATTTATCAGACATTGAGTTTTGCAGAGTTCTATTTCGCTGTGCTCTCGCATGTGCTTTCTTAAAGAGTAGGTGTTGATGGGATAGGGATGTGACTAGGCAGGTGGTTGTTGCTGGGTGTTGCCGTTGCTGTGTGTTGCTCTGTGCTACTGTGCGTCCAGGGCAACCGAGAAAGCGTCCTGGGGAGAGGGTAGGCTGCACTGCTGAGACAAGCTTTCTGCAGTCGGGGCGCGTCTGTCGGGGCAACGATTTCAGCTGAAACGAACGCAAGCGAGTCGACGGGGGGCGGTTAGAACGGGGTGCTGAACGGACGGAACAACACAAACAATCGGCGCGCCATGTGTCTGCTGTCCGCACGGCTGCGTGAAGAACCACCGGCTGTGGCGGGACGACACATGAAGGGGCAGACGCTTCGAGATTGAAGCTGGCGGTTGTGTGGCGGCTGGGAATCACGGATGGTTGCAACACGCGTGGGTGCGAGGAGGGACTAGGAAGAACGGGTGCCGGCCGAACGCGAACGCGAGCGACTGAGTGGCGCGTGTCTGCTGGCTGCACGTCTGCTGGGACAACCACGGGCGGCAGGAGAAGACACACCCACCAACCCTTTTTGTTGCAGGATTTTGAGAGGACTATTAGAAAAGGCGTCTGCTGGCGCGAGCGACGAACGAGGGTGGGCGAGGAGCGGGAGTGAGTGGCGCGTGTGTCTGCTGGCTGCACGTCTGCTGGGACAACCACAGGCGGCGACGGGAGACACTCGCCAACCCTTTTTTTGTTTGCAGGTTGAGAAGCGAACGGTATGCATGTGAGGCCGCGTGTCTGCTGTCTGCACGTCCGTTGAACATCCGCGGGCGCTGTTGGGAAGACACGAGGGTGCGGGCTCGAGTGGTGAACGCGTGAGGGGCGTGTACGGCGTTACGGAGTGGCGCGCGTCTGCTGTCTGCACGTCTGCTAGGACAACCGCGGGCGCTGATGGGAAGACGCGTGCGGAGGTGGAGCGAAGTGCATGGCGAGAAACGAGCGAGCGGGAGAGCTAGGAAAGTTGCGTGTGTGTCTGCTGTCTGCACGTCTGCTGGGACAACTACAGGCTGCACCACGAGACACCCGCCACCCCTCTTTTTCTTGCAGGATGAAGAAACAAACACGCAATGACGTTTCGAAAGAACACTCAGGGACGATGAACGAACGAGTGGGGCGAGGAACGGTATTGAGTGGCGCGCGTCTGCCTTCTGCACGTCTGCTGGGTCAACCGTGGGCGTTGGTGGGAGGACGCGAGCGGAGACGGAAGTGGTGAAAGGCGGTGCAGGGCACGAGCGAGCGAGACGTCAGCGGGGGGAGGTTGGCGCAGGGCAACGCGCGCGCGTGTGTGTCTGCTGTCTGCACGTCTGCCGGGACAACCGCGGGCTGTAGCGAGAGACACCCACCATACCCCCTTTTTCTTGCAGGTCGTTAAAAGGAAGTACGAAGGAAGTATGAAGCGCGATCCATGGAGGGCGAGCAATGTGAGAGAGGGACGCGCGCGTGTGTCTGCTGTCTGCACGGCTGCGATGGGAAGACACACGCGGATGAACGCGGAGGGGCGTGCGGGTGGCGAGCGGGTGCGCGGATGGATAACTTGGCGAATATGCACACGCGGCGAGTGGCTTCTGTCTGCACGTCTGCTGGTCAACCGCGGGCTGCAACGGGAGACACCCACCCAACCCCCTTTTCTTGCAGGTCGTGAAGCAAAGTAGTACCAAGAAAATGAGAGGGGCGCGCGTGTGTCTGCTGTCTGCACGGCTGCGATGGGAAGACACGCGAGGAGATGCGCGCAGGGGCGCGCGGGGGACGAGACGAGCGGTTATACGGATGGATAACTGGGCGAATGCGAACGCGAGCGGATGGGAAGACGCGTTGAGGATGCATGCGCGCAGGGGCGTGCGGGCGACGAGCGGTCATGTGGACGGGAAACGGGCGAACGCGCAAGCAGGATCGATTGGCGTGTGTCTGCTGTCTGCACGTCTGCTGGACAACCGCGGGCTGCAACGGGAGACACCCACCAACCCCTTTTTCATGCAGGTCATCGTCGTGAGTCGAAGTGACAAGTGCGGTCGGTGGGGGGCGAGCGACGTGAGAGAGGGACGCGCGTATGTCTGCCGTCTGCTCGACAGCAACGGGAAGACGCTTGAGGGTGCACGCGCGGGGGCGTGCGGGTCGCGAGCGGGTGCGCGGATGGATAAGCAGTTGGATGTGAACGCGAGCGGATGGGAAGATGCGTGAGGATTCACGTGTTGGGGCGTGCGGGCGACGAGCGGGTGTGGACGGAAACTCGGTCGGACGCGGGCGTGAGCGGGATTGGCGAGTGGCTGCTGTCTGCACGTCTGCTGGACAACCGCGGGCTGCAACGGGAGACCCCCACCGAATCCCCTTTTCTTTGCAGGTCGTGAGAAGAAAGTAAGAAAGCGACAAGTGTGAAAGGCGTGGGTTTCTGCTGTCGCCACGGCTTCAAGACCAAGTGTGCTGCTACAATGGGAAGACACGCGAGGGTGCACGCGGGGGGGCGTGCGGGTGACGAGCTCGGTTGTGCGGACTGGAAACGCGGGCGAGAGCGAACGCGAGCGGGATTGACGAGTGGCTGCTGTCTGCACGTCTGCTGGGACAACTGCGGGCTGCAACGGGAGACACCCACCCAATCCCCTTCCCTTGCAGGTTTTTGAAGAGGCAAACTTGCTGGGTGTGGGATGGAGTGGCACGCACGTCTTTGTCTGCGCGTTTGCTTTTGGCACAAGGGCACTTGGTACTTGGGCGGGACGTGGTCACGGTGGTACTTCTGCACTTGGGCACCTCTGCACGTGGGCACCTCTGCACGTGGGCACTTCTGCACGTGGGCACCTCTGCACGTGGGCACTTCTGCACGTGGGCACCTCTGCACGTGGGCACTTCTGCACGTGGACACCTCTGCACGGGGCACTTCGGCACGGGGGCATTTCGGCACGTGGGTCTCCTGCACGGGGGCACTTCGGCACGTGGGTCTTCTGCACGGGGGCACTTCGGCACGTGGGTCTTCTGCACGGGGGCACTTCGGCACGTGGGCACTTCGGCACGTGGGTCTTCTGCACGGAGGCACTTCGGCACGTGGGTCTTCTGCACGGGGGCACTTCGGCACGTGGGTCTTCTGCACGGGGGCACTTCGGCACGTGGGTCTTCTGCACGGGGGAACTTCGGCACGTGGGCACTTCGGCACGGGGGCACTTTGGTACTTCTGCTGGGTCACCATTGGCTGCATTGGCGAGCTCGCGGGTGGGACGAGTTACTTCGGTGGGCGGGTGGCTAACGGCGGTTGGCGAGAAACTTGTGGCGAACACGGGTGGGATGGAGTGACGCGCGTATGGCTGCTGCTACGGGAAGACACAGCGCAGTTTGTTTTTGCAGGTTATCGAGTGGCGAGTGCGTTTGTCTGCAACGTCTGCTCTTCTTTCGTGATGGGACGACAACCAGAACGGTACGCGCGCGGGTGGGTGCATGGTGGACAGGCTTCAAGTGGACGGGCGTTCAGTGGACGGGTGATGCGCGAACTGGGGCGGGATTGTGCGAGCGACAGCGAGGGTCTGCTTGTTGGGATTCTGCTGGGAGGACCAGCGGAATGGGCGTGGGTGCGTGCACTGCATGGTGGACGGGCGTTCGGCGGACGGACGGTTGGCGAGCGGGGACGGGATTGAGCGAGCGAGGGCGAGTGTGTGCTACAATTGCGCGCGTCTTCTGAGACACGAACGGGTGTAGACTGGACGACACTCGCGGTGACGGGATGGCAGTCGCAGAGGTGATTGGCGGATGAGCGCAAGCGCGGATGCGCGCACGGGACGGGTGCGCGGGGCGTATGGGCGGAAGGCGGAAGGATGCGCGGCGTATGGGCGCAGGACGGCGTATGGGGTGCGTGGGTCTGCTGCGTCTGCACGTCTGCTGGGACAACCACAGGCTGCAACGCCAAACCCCATTGTCGTGCAGATTGAAGTGATGGTGGGTCGGATGGGAAACGAGTACGAGAACAAGGCTGGTGCGGGGGCGAATGGCGCATGGTGCGGAGGCGAATGGCGCACGGCGGATGAGTGCGCGGCGGACGGTTGTGGGGCGTCTGGGGACGGGTGGCTGCCGCGTCTGCACGTCTGCTGGGACAACCACAGGCTGCAGTGGAAATAACCGCTTCCATATTTCGCAGGTTTTAAGTGGCGGGCGCTGTGGTTGCATTGGCGCTTGAGTAGGGGGAACCACGGGCTGTGATTGGGACGAGAACAATGGGAGGACGGACGGTGCAGCTGAAAGGATGTTCGGAGGTAGACAGACACCACACTGTGGGACACACTGCAAGCAAGCGACGGTGTCGGTTGAGAGTCACGCAGAGCTTGCGGGCACGGAACGAGCGGGGGCAGAGTCGAGCATTGCGCGCGCCTTCTGTTGACAATTGGGAGTGCCAGGCAGGACAGAAGTTCAAAGTGCGACGTGGCCCATAGTCGGTATACATTCGCTGGTACGCAAAAGAGTGACGCGGTAGGGTTGACGGATGGCTAACGGGTGCGCGGCGGATACTTGCGGGGACGGGATCGAGACTGGTGCAGAGAGGTTTGTGTGGGTGTGCATGCGGCGGCAGGTCTGGCGGGAGAAGCTGACGGTGCTGGTACGACCGCGGGTGATGAGCTAAATAAGGTGGCTGACTAAGCGGACGGTGGAGCGTGGTGCGGCGTGGTGCTGGTGGTGGCGGGAGGTGTGGAGCAGGTACAGGTTGAGCGGGCGTGGCGCTGGAACCGAGATAGTGTGGGCTGGCTGGTGTGACTAACTGGAGTGAGACGGTTGAGGACTGCGCGCTGGGGGAGTGTGAATAAAGGACGGCTAGAAGGCGGTTGTGTGTAATGACTGGTGGACAAGGCTGATGGTGGGGTAGCCCTTGCATACGGAGTGGTACAGTCGAACGATATATTTGAGAAGCGAGGTAGAGATAGGTTTCTGAAGGTCAGGCCTTGGCTAATGGTATGTGCTAATGATGGTCTGGAACGTTGTGATAGTGGTGGTAGAGTAGAGAGGCTTCTGGTATGAGAGGTTGTTGGGTTGTAGGAGGTGGTTGAGGGAGAAGCTTCTGGCTGTGAGAAATGTGCCTGGTCAGGTTGTGTGTTAGGAGGATGGTATAGCTAAGGTGCCTGGTATTGTAGTCTGGAGCGGACAGGCGAAGCTAGATTATCAGAGATTTCTGTGATAGGTTAGAGGATGGTATAGCTACGGTGCCTGGTAGTGTTGTCTGGAGCGGACAGGCGGTTATGATCGAAGTGATGGCTGCTGTTATGGAAGGTACCTGAACACGTGAAGAGTGCTGCATCGTGGTGTGTCTATTCCTGCTTTGCAATCCGGGTCTGCTTCTGCTTCTGCTGGGTTTACATGGGCTGCTGTTCGCTGCTGTTGTCTTCGGTTCTGTGGGTGCTGTTGCTTGTGGGAACATGGTTGGGTTGGTGAAGCTGTGGTTGTGGAAGGTCGCGGAAGGTAGAGGTGGTGGTGGTGGTGGCAGTTACTGCGTTTTGTCTCTTCCTGGTGGTGTACCTGGTCGTATTGGGGTCTGCTGAAGAGGGAAGCTGTGATTGAAAACCAGGCAAGCTGAAGTTGAAGCAGTTAGGCTGCTGGGTGTATCTGCTGTGTGTCGGCTGGTCTTCCTACTTCTACTAGGATGTTGGTGGAGGTTCCCTGTTTCTTCTCTTACTCGCAGGAGCTGATGCAACTGGAGGCCTCGCGTTGATTGCTCGGTGGACTGAATTCGTGCGAAAAAGACAAGCTGATGAGAGATGCTGTGCAGCTGCAGCTGTTGCTCTGATGGGTGGCTGTTCACTGCTCCTGTTTTGGCATCTGCTGTCCCTTCTGCTACTGCAACGTCTTCAGCCTCTCGCCGCCCTTGCACTCACTCCCTCCTGCTGGACGGCTGATTGCTGCTCCTGGTGCTGCAACTCCTATTCCGGTTCGGTCAAACCGTATTCGCCATATTCACATCTGCATCACTTCGTGCTGCAACTCCTTTTCTGATTCGGTCAATCCATATCTACCCTAGCCGCGTTTGCATACTTCTCTTCGGCCAAAGAAAACTACCTCATGCTCTTCAATTAAACCACATCACTGCATCACCTTCACACTCTTCAGTCCAACCACATCTCCTTAGCTACGTCCTCTTTGGTCAAGCCTATTCACCTCATCTGTACGGCACACTCTTGTTTCAACTGAAACCCTTCTTTCCGAGTGCCCAACTGTTAGACTGTCGACCTCTCCTGTTCTGCCATGTCAGCTGATAATCCTCCTGTTCCAGCCCATAACCTTCCCATTCCATCCAATAACCCTTTGAACGTATCATTACATTCAATCAAGCCTACCTTCCAAATGAGCCCTTTATATCAATTTCACTAGTTTTTCAACCCGACCTGACACACCCTTCAGCTTGACACTGTTTTTCAACTGGACTCCAGTACACTGTCTAACTGATACGATTCCTCAGCCCAACTTTAAAGCCACTTGGTTCTTCTACCCTTCTCGTTCGCCATATTCTCAGTTAAACTGGCCTCTTTTCAATCTTCAAACGTCCCATCAATCCTTGTAGACTGTCCATAGTCCGGTCTTCTCACAGTTTCCTGGAATAGCAGCCTGGACTGTAGGTAGTAGTGTTTTTACTAAGAGGCTCCCTTGTTTCCTTTTCGGTAGCTCTTTTTCTAGATTTTAGTTGTCTACAAAGCAGTTTTCTAGGTAGCAGTTGTAGCAGTTTCCTAGGTAGCAGTTGTCTCCTGGCGGGTTTCTTCTTGGTGTCGTGCTGCTGCTGTGCGGACGGTTGATACACAGGAGAGGAGAGGCGAGGCAGGGGACGCCGGGGCAACGAGGGGCATTGTGGGCTCCTGGCAACGAGGGGTGGACGAGTTTAACAGCTGGTGGTCAGAAGAGTTCATAAGCAGCTGGTCAGGTGTGGTGCTTCGTTGAGCATTTTGTTCTTCGTTGTTGGTTGCATACGGTGCTGTGTGGTGGAGTGTGGTGCTGCGCTGTTGAGCAGGAGTGGCTGAAGCGACTAGAAAGGATGCAGGAGATATAGCGGTTTCGTGGCAACGAGAGGGATGAAGTGGTCAGGTGTGGTGCTTCTTGCAGCATTTCGTTTTCCGTTGTTGGCTATACACGGTGCTGTGGTGGAGTGGTTGGACAGGAGCGGGTTGAAGTGGCTAGTGGTCAAGCAAGAGCAGTGACAGGGACTAACCAAGTGACTAGTGGTCAGGTGTGGGCTGTTTTCCTCTGCAGTTTTTCTGTCGGTCGTAGGTGGTGCTGTGTGGTGCTGTGTGGTGCTTTGTGGTTCTGTGCGGTGGTGTGTGGTCGGCAGGGGAGGAAGACTGTCAAAGGTGGTTAGCAACATTAATGGATGGCTATTGGAGCAGCAGAGGAGCAAGCAGGTGGGGGTATCTTGGTTCGTAGCTGCTAGTTCTTCGTTTCTGGACGCGTTTGGTGCTGTGTGGTACTATGCGGTGGCAGGAGTGGCAGAGCGGTTCAAGCAACAGCAGAAGGGGATATTTCTCCAGCAATTGGTTCAGGTGTGGGCGTTCTGGCTCTTTTGGCATTTCTACTTGGTCGAAGTTGGTGCTGTGTGGTTCTGCGTGGTGGGCAGGGGTGCGAGTGGCTACCGAAGGTTTCAAAGAGTGGAGGGCACTTTGCAGCAGGCAATGATTAGTGGAGGGCACGTAGGAGCATGCAATGATCAGGTGTGGATATACTCTTAGCAGCAGTTTCTTTGTTGCGGATCACGTAGGGTGGTGTGCGGTGGTGTGCAGTGCTGCGTGGTGGGGCAGGAGCTGTAGGGTGTTTCGAGCAACGGCAGTCAGCGGGTCTTCTCAACCTGTTACCGGTCAGTGTGGGCGTTTTGGCGCTTCCTACATTTCTCCAAGGTGCTGTGCGGTGCGGCGTGGTGGATTAGGAGCAGGGTGTTCTGAGCAGCGGCAGTCAGCGGGTCTTCTCAACCGGTTACTGGTCAGTGCGGGCGTTTTGGTGCTTCCAACGTCTCTGGGGTGCTCTGCGGTGCTGTGTGGTGGGGCGAGAGTGGCAGGGTGTTTCGAGCAACGGCAGCAAGCGGGTCTTCTCCATCGGCTAGCGGTCAGTGCGAGCGTTCTGGTGCTTTCAACATTTCGTTCTGGTGCTGTGCGTTGCTGTGTGGTGGGGCAAGGTGGGGAGGAACCAGTTTTTGTAGTGTGCAGTGCAGTGGTGCTATATGGTGCGGCGTGGTGGAGGGGGGAGGAGAGGAGAGCAGTCTGCAGCTAACAGTGGGCGATGGGAAAACGCGTTGAAGTCTGCAGCAAGCAACTTGATTGGAGGAAGCAACTTGATCTGCATCATCAATGATAAGATAAGAGAATGCACAGTGAGGGTTGAGGTCTTGAACACTTCACAGTGAGAAGTGTGAGGTCATAAGCACTTTCACAGGGAGAGGAGGTTAAGAGTCCCAAAAGAAGGCTGTACATTTGAGATGCTGGACATTTGAGAGCGAGAGGTGGGCACATCAGAGGGAGAAGTGGTGACACTGAGCTAGGTTGACATACTTACGGATTTTAGGAGAAGCGCTTTTGAGTCTCACAAAAAGTACCTGAGAGACCCACAAAGAGCACTTGAGAGTCTCCACAGTTGAGAGTGTTGCGAACAGCAGAGTGTTGAAAAGGTTGATAGGAGTGGTGATCTGAAGGAACATATTAGACAAGTCAGTGAAGTGTAGCAGTGTAAAGGCAGATGAGAGGAAAAAGAAGTGAAGAGCCGATGGAAGGAAGCATGTGTAGGTAGCGCCACCACCTGACAAGAGTCGTGCACACAGTAAAGCCACCAGTTCTGCCGACCAGATCTGTCTCCCTTATTATCCATGTCCGCCGCAGCAGTCCTTTGTTGTATTTCCCCTGTGTCCTGTCCACCATTGTCAAGCCCTCCACACAGTAAAGCCACCCGTCTATATCTGTCTCCCTTATCATCCTATACCCGCTTCAGCAGTCCTTTAGGTGGTTCCCCTGTGTCCTGTCCACCACCTGACAAGCTCTCAATACAGCAAAACCACCAGCTATACCAACCAAACCCTTCTCCCTTATTATCCGTATCCGCCCCTGGAGTCCCCTGGAGTCCTTAGTCCCAAGGCCGTTCACACAGTAAGCTACCAATTAAGACATGACCATAAGCACTCCTTAATATTCCTCATCTGCCTCTTGTAGCCTTCCCTGCTGTCACTCTGTTGTACATACTCCCTTCCCCCAGCAACCCCCAGAGTGTAATTCCCTAAGCCTGCAGAAATACATCTTACACGCCCTCTCCTATATACCCTTAGTTCTCCCGGTTACCCTTAGTGCTAATTATCATCCACCTATCCCTCAACTCAGGTTACCATATCCTTCTAAAATACCACGTTCCCCTTAACTGTCCCCAACCTCTCCACATAACCCCTCTCTTGTGGACTATGATGAGGCAGCTGCCTCTTGGGGTGTGACTCATGTGCGCAATTCACCCGCTTTTAAGCGGGTAATTGTTGGGAGCACCCTCTCATGAGGGCATTTCCCCTGGGCACATGGGTGCACAGCAGGCCACACTGTTGTCAATCCCTCTGGAAGGAGCTTTGGCTTCGTTCTCAGCAGGCTGATGTGGCATCCTAAGGCAGCACCCTGAGTCCGTAACACCATTTTTTTTTCTTCTACACACTTAATTTATCTTGTTCCTGTGCTCGTTTTTTCTAGACACTGTATTTGTCTGATTATTTTTTCCCCTTTGTAATTTTGTTTTTTAAGTAGTATAGTTCTGCTTCATGTAATTGTAATAGTGTTTGCCAGAGTGGTTGGTAATTGGTGTTTAGTTCCGTTGGTTCATGGGAGTGGGTGGTGGTTTCTGCTGATTGTCGCTGGTGGGAGTGGTGCGTGCTATGGCTGCTTCTGCAACGGGTGCTGCTGCTGCGACAAGGGGGGGCTGCTGCTGCGACAAGGGGGGGCTGCTGCTGCTACAAGGGGGAGTGCTGCTATGAGGGGTGCTGCTGGTAAGAGGGGTGCTGCTGCTACAAGGGGGGGTGCTGCTAAGAGGGGTGCTGTTGCTGCGACAATGGGTGCTGCTGCTAGAAGGGGGATTGCTGCTGCTACAAGGGGGAGTGCTGCTATGAGGGGTGCTGCTGGTGAGAGGGGTGGTGCTGCTTCTATTAGGGGTGGTGATGCTACAAGGGGGGGGAGTGCTGCTGCTGCTACAAGTGAGGGGGGTGGTGCTACTGCTACAAGGGGAGTGCTGCTGCTACAAGGGGAGTGCTGCTGGTAAGAGGGGTGGTGCTGCTGCTACAAGGGGGATTGCTGCTGCTACAAGGGGAGTGCTGCTATGAGGGGTGCTGCTGGTAAGAGGGGTGCCGCTGCTACAAGGGGGAGTGCTGCTACAAGGGGTGCTGCTACAAGGGGGAAGAGCTGCTGCTGCTACAAGTGGGGGGGGGGTGTTGCTGCTGCTACAAGGGGAGTGCTGCTGCTACAAGGGGAGTGCTGCTGGTAAGAGGGGTGGTGCTGCTGCTGCAAGGGGAGTGCTGCTGCTGCGACAAGGGGGAGCGGGAGAGTAGGGGTTTTGGAGGGGTGGAAGGAGAGGGGGAGAGGGGAGGGGAGTGGATGCATTCTGGAACATGCCGCAATGCGGTTTTCCCTGGTGGTAATGGTGAGTGGATTTGTGCATACAGCAATTTGTTATTTCTCAATTGTAATTGCAGCCACTCATGCTTCCGTTCTGCTTGTGCTTCTTGTCTGTTCTGTTCTGCAGAGGAATGAAGACAAGTTGACAAGACTGCTGGATGTGTCGGAAGTGTGGTGGTAGCAAGTGTGGTCTGTTCATGTGTGCATAGTGATGTGCATGTGTGTGTGTGTGTGTGCGTGGTGATGTGCATGTGTGTGTGTGTGTGCGTGGTGATGTGCATGTGTGTGTGTGCGTGGTGATGTGCATGTGTGTGTGTGCGTGGTGATGTGCATGTGTGTGTGTGTGTATGATGTGCATGTGTGTGTGTGTATGATGATGTGCATCTGTGTGTGTGTATGATGATGTGCATGTGTGTGTGTGTATGATGATGTGCATGTGTGTGTGTGTGTGTGTGTGTGTGTGTATGGTGGTGATGTGCATGTGCATGGTGATGAGGCATTGGGTGCGTGCCTGTGGGTGTGTGGGAATGTGTTTGTGGGAGCATGTGGGTGCATGTGAGCCATCTGCATCAACCGTCCATCTGCATCAACCGTCCATCTGCATCAACCGTCCATCTGCATCAACCGTCCATCTGCATCAACCGTCCATCTGCATCAACCGTCCATCTGCATCAACCGTCCATCTGCATCAACCGTCCATCTGCATCAACCGTCCATCTGCATCAACCGTCCATCTGCATCAACCGTCCATCTGCATCAACCGTCCATCTGCATCAACCGTCCATCTGCATCAACCGTCCATCTGCATCAACCGTCCATCTGCATCAACCGTCCATCTGCATCAACCGTCCATCTGCATCAACCGTCCATCTGCATCAAGCCTCCATCTGCATCAAGCCTCCATCTGCATCAAGCCTCCATCTGCATCAAGCCTCCATCTGCATCAAGCCTCCATCTGCATCAAGCCTCCATCTGCATCAAGCCTCCATCTGCATCAAGCCTCCATCTGCATCAAGCCTCCATCTGCATCAAGCCTCCTCTGCATCAAGCTCCCTCTGGATCAACCTTCCATCTGCATGAACCTCTTCTCTGAATCAAGCCTCCTTTGCATCAACCTCCCTCTGGATCAACCTCTGTCAACCTGCCATTGCATGATCCAGCTGTTCATTTGCATCACCCAGTCTCTGCTCCTTGAGGAGGGCCTTGGAAATAGAAATATGTTATCAGTGAGGAAGTTGTTGGTGTTGGGCTGAGAAAATAGCCCTTAGGATCTTTGCAGGGGTGAACTCTGGGTAGGACTGATGTAATAGCGGAAGCTTTAATGAAGTAGTTGAACCACTTTGCGCTAGTATGTGAGGGCAAAGTCGATTGATTAAAGCAAAGAGATACAAGATTATATAAGAGTACAAGGAATACGAAGGAATACGGTTGCAACTACTTTACTGTTTGCTGTTGCGCTTCGATACAGTGACGACTCGGGCAACTGCTCTGTAGCGAGTCAGTTGTGTGTCCTTGCTGTCGCGCTGTACTCTGTCAGGTCAAAGGTCGCTGACCTTTGGCTTTCGCGTAACCTCCAACAGTTGTTTTCAACCTCCGAGGGTTGACTCGCCGGTGCCTCGATATGCTTCGCTTCGTTTGTGCCTTAGTGTTTCGACACGACAGAGGCGCTTAAGATCGATTGTTTCCAACACTCCCCTTCGCTTCTGGAGTGTCGCTGCTGGTGACGTGGCTCTGTCCAGTCAGCAGCATGCAGTACTCGAACTTTTGCTTTCCGAGTTTCTTGGTCAAGTAGTCGGCTGCCATCTCGGACGTGGGGCAGTATGACAGCTCGAGCCTTCCTTTCTCGATCTCGTCCTTCACGAAGAAATATCGCAGGGCGATGTGTTTCGTCCTGTTCGCGAAGCCGTTCTTGTTGGCGATGCGAATTGCCGACTGGTTGTCGCAGAACAGAGTGAAGCTGGGTAACTGAGCCAGCTTCGCTTCGTTCAGTAGTTCGCGAAGGTAAAGTCCTTCCTTGGTGGCTGAACAAAGTGCAATATATTCTGCTTCAGCTGACGAGAGGGCGATTAATTCCTGCTTGCTCGACTGCCATGAGATAGGTCCGATAGGTTCGAGGCGGTAGATGTAACCGGTGCGGGAGCGCCTGTTGTCGGAGTCGCCAGCGTGATCGGCGTCGACGTAGCCGATTAACTTAGGCGGTGTAGTTGCGTTCTTGTAGTAAGTTAGGCCGATCGTTGGGGTGCTGACGAGGTAGTGAAGAGCGCGGTCGAGTTCTGCTAGATGTTCCGCTTCAGGCCTCTTGAGGTAGGTGGCGAGGTGACTTGCAGAATACGATAGGTCCGGGCGGCAGGTGACAGCTGCGAAAAGGAGGCATCCCAGTTTCCTCTGGTAGTCGCGTATGCCGGCGGGCTTAAGTAGAGCGGAGCTTCCCTTGCTGCTTCCTGTCGTGTAGCGGTACGGTGTGGAGATGGTGGTCGGTGTGAGTGCGAAGCGCTTGGCGATGGTGTCTGCGTATTTCGCGGCACTGAGGTGGATCACGTCTTCCTCTTCTCGGATGTTGAGACCGAGGTACTGTGTGACGGTAGATGAGACCGTGAGCGTGAGGTCCTTCTGTAGCTCCCCTTCGAACCAGGTTGTGATGCCGTCGGTCGAGCCGATGTAGAGTAGATCGTCTACGTAGACGATTAACAGGATGTAGTCGGTGTTCTTCGTGAGCCGGTACATGCCCTGATCATGCGGTAGTTGTTTGAAGCCGATGCGAATGAGGCGAGCGTGCAGGTATTGTTGCCATAGCCGTGGAGCTTGCTTGATGCCGTAGAGCGACTTCAGCAGCTGACAGACTTGATTGGGCTCACCGTTGGAGCCGTGCGGTAATTCGACGAAGATTTCTGCGTCAACAGGTGCGTAGAGGAATGCGTTCGCGACGTCGATTTGTCGCAGCTTCTTCTTCTTCATGGCGGCGATCGCGAGGAGGATTCGGAGTGAAGTGTGTCGACTGACCGGAGCAAATGTTTCGGTGAAGTCGCGTCCGTGTTCTTGGTCGAAGCCGCGTACGACCCAGCGAGCTTTAAACTTGTCGATGGTGCCGTCAGCCTTTGTCTTTACACGGAAGACCCATTTCCCGGTGAGTACTGTTTTGTTACGTGCTACGCCGATAGGGACGACCTTCCAGGTGTTGCGTTCCTCCAGCGCCTTTAGCTCCCTGTCCATGGCTTCGCGCCATTTTTCCTTATGTTCCCCCCCCAGAGCCGCAGGCTCTTTAGGAATGGCTGCGCCGTGAACTGCGGTGACGAGACCAAGGATTTGGAGTCCACTCTGTGTGTAGCGGGGGAGTGAAGTGTCCTCGGGATAAACTGCTTCGTCTCCCGCTTCTGGATCAGGTGCGAAATTAGGTCCTACGCGTTCTGCTTCGTCGGTGTTGAGTTGTACAGGTGTAACGTAACCGTTGTCAGCGAAATGGTAGTAGGCGTCGGCGTTGATGCTTTCGCGTGGGTTTTCGTCATCCATTGGCACGTCGACGGAGCAGTAGGGGAGGGGTCCGGCTTCTTCCGAGGCTCCTTCCACGTTCTGCTCGTCCCAGTCAACTTCGTCGTCTGCCGAGGCGAAGGCTCGGGTGCCTTGAAAACCAGCGGAGCGATCGGGGTTTTCTTCTTGCAAGTTGGCAAGGTAATACCGGAGGGTGAGGTTTTCGTAGAAAACGACGTCACGTGCTACCACTGTCTCTTTTGTCTCGACGTCGAAAATTTTCCATGCGTTGTAATGCTTTTCAATGCCCAGGTGTAGCCCCCACTGTGCGCGTTGAGAGAATCGGCCGGCTCGTGCAGATGGGGGCCGGTACTGTACCATGCAGCCAAAGACTCTTAACATTTTTGTGCTGCCCTGCTTTCCTGTCCACAGCAGGTGCGGTGATGCGTTGTTCGGGAGCGATGATGACGAGAGCAAGTTGTGCAGCATGACGGCGTGGTCCATTGCTTCGGGCCACTGGTGGTTGGGCAGGTGCATGCCACGTAGCAGCTTGCGCATGGTATTCTGGAGGGTCCTGTTCATCCTCTCTGCTACTCCTTGCTGTTGATGGGCGTAGGGAAGGGAGATGAGCCGCTTGATTCCTCTTTCAGCCAAGTACTGCTTGAACCTTTGTGAGGTGTATTCTCCTCCCCCGTCTGACTGGAAGCTCTTCAGTTTGACGCCCGATTCTCGCTCTGCTACTGGGAGCCACGCGACGAAGGCTTCGAAGGCCATGTCTTTGCTCGGAAGGTTTAGATGCCAGACGTATCGTGTGGCGGCGTCGATGAAGGTGATGGTGTAATTGTACGCGTTTTGTCCAGGCTCGCGGTTGTACAAGATGTCGCTGTACACCTTCTCGAGTGGTGCGTAAGCTGGTGCGCTTGGGTTGTGGTGAGACGCGAACGGTTGATGTGGTAAGTCAGCTTCGGGACAGGTGAAGCATGTTCCTCGAGCTCGCTGAAGTTCTCTGCCGTCAGTTAGGAGTAGAGAGTCTTTATCGAGTACGCCTGCTCTTATCGTGTTGTTTAACACCGTGTTGCTTGGATGTCCCATTCTTGCGTGCCAGGTTCCTTCGGTGGCGCGATGTCCGGGTGAGCGCCGATACATATCGGAGTTGGAATAGAAGCTGGCGGTGAAGTTGGCGCTTCGATGAACTTCTCGTGGTGCTGGGTGTAGTTGTTGCGCGGGTGTCGGTGGTGTGTCGTCGACGAGGAGTGGTGCCGTTGAAGGACCAGCGACTGGCGTTGACGTTCCTGCTGCTGCCGATGTTGTTTCTGCTGCTGCCGATGTTGTCTCTGCTGCTGCCGATGTTGTCTCTGCTACTGCCGATGTTGTCTCTGCTGCTGCCGATGTTGTCTCTGTTGCTGCCGATGTTGTTTGAATTGTTGCTAACGCCCTTGTTCTTTCTGCCTCAGGGATGGTGTGTGAA